GTGCCCTTAAATTTGAGCAGATTTCTTCAATCCTAGAAGCTAGTTGCTTTTTAGATCTGATGAAAAACGTCAAAATGGCATTACCCAAATTCCTTAAAAGAGAAGTGAATTTCTAATTTGAAACTATCCCTGAATAGATCCCCTAGCTCTTACAAATCTTTGCACAAACAGATCCAAAATTAATAAATATTCAGAAATATATATGAACACATTTTTATATCTATTATCTCCTCTACATTAGCCACATTTAGTAGCCTTGCTTTAACCTTCCTCAAGGAACTTGGTTTTCTTGTTCGTAAAATCTTTTATGCACAGGGAAGGTTTTTAGCTTAAGCAAAGACACTCCATTGCCATTCATAAATCGAATTAATATCAATTTCATTGTAAGCCTCCTTCCTAAGGAGCTAACCTAACTATTTTTTGAAATCCTCTTTACATATTTTATATTTTTTTGTATATAATCATCCTTTTTACATTTTTTATTATATGTTCTTATTTTTTAATAAATTTCCTTATACTTATAAATTTATTTTATATATTTTTGGGAGAGAGGATGGGAGAGCGAATGTTGGAGGAAAAATATTATTTCGTTGGATAATAGTTGTGCAAAATGGCGAATGTGCTTGTATATATAAATTATTTAGGCCATTTATAAATCCATGGCATAGTTGTCAAAGGAAAAAGATCAAAGAATCGACGATCCTGGATTCTCCTAATTTTATCAATTTACCCAGATTTATGATTTTCTCTTAAATTAAGGATCGTGATCGAGATCATTTTATTAAATCCTTCTTTTAAAAATTCTATCTCCATCATATTTTAGCATTCTCCGCCATATTTTATAATTTTCTCATAAATTTTATCAAGCAACATTTACGAATTTGATCTACAGCCTACAAGTTTTAGTTGAATTAAAAATATAATAAATAATTTTAGGTATTTACTTTGTCTATTATAGATCTAAAAAAAAATACACATATAGTTATTGAAATGACAGCTATAAATGAGAACATTTTACTTTTTCCTCAGCTCCGTATAATAATGTTAGTTATCGTTTCTTAAAATATAGATTTCCTTCATTGTCTGAGGACAATAGCATATTAGCAGCAACAATTCACCCAAAATTTATTCTTAATTGGCCTTATATCAATCTGCCACAAAATTTGGAAAACCTGCAGGATCAACCACATGCAGATGCTTATTCAAATAATTGTACAAAAAAATTTTCGCAAAATGCACCTTCCCTTAAAATTTTTTTTTTATTCAAATGATGATTCAATTATTATTTTAAATATTGATATAAATAAATAAAATATATAATTTGCCATTAAGCGCTAATGTGGATCCCTTGATTAATAACGCTAAATATACTTTTAAAAGGATCGATTAACAAACCTGATCTATAGATATAGGGCTAAGTAAACTATGGATAAGTACTTAATTATATCTATCCCAGCATTATTAAACCAACCCTCTCTATATAAATTAAAGATGGATAAGGAAGATGAGGGGAAAAGGGGGAAAAGTAAAGGATAAGAAGGCGATGAAAGAGGGCACGAAAAGGGGGGGGGGGGAAGGGAGAAGCAGTAGAAGACGAGAAAGGCTGGTGATTGGTGCTATTAATTCCGATTTTTTATATTTTTTAGAATAGTAAATGCTAGATCCCTATGGGGGTATGAATTAAAGATATTTTTAGGCTAGTAATAATTTATGACTGCTACCTACACTATAATTTCTCATTAAAAGAATCACTCTGAATAAAAGAAGGAGATAAAGCATAATGCATTTTAATCTGTTGAAAGTTTTCCCCGGGTATAATTTTTGACCATCAATTCTGGTTTGTGAAGTTAAAACCCATCATGCTCTTTTAAATCTATTATAGCTCTAATTTATCTTTAAGTTCTTACTTTCCATCTTTTTAGTTAAACACCTGATAGATAACCTCATTTACTTCTTTTTTTAAAAAAATTTAATAATAGTTATTAAGATGGCCATAAAAGTAAACGGGTTTTTTAGCGCATCGGCTTGATATATTTTGAATATAAAAATTGATTTATAAGCATATTATATCTTTGTAATTATTTGTAATTTAGATTTATTTGTTTAATTTCTTTTAGTATGGATCAAATGTCTATTCGGAACAGGATGTATGAGCATTTGGGATACTTTCCTCTAAGATATAACACCATTGGAATCTTTACGTTTCTCAAATAATCTCAAAACAAATTTTTTTAGAAGCAATTTCCTTAAAAAAAATTCAATTGTCACATCTTTTGAAAATAAATATCGTTAAGCGATCTTATAGAACTAGAAGAAGGAATAGATGACGACATGGGAAATATATTTAACAAACTAAATATAGTAAAATCCTCGAAAATTTTATATTTTTGTGGTTAATTATAAAATAGTTATTGTTAAGCACATTTATATAAAGAAAAAAGATTTAATAGGTGTACTAGATGTCTGGCATTAATAATAAAAAAAATTGCAAATCTTCATATTAACTTGGAGGACAATAATTTGTCAATTACATTTAATTTTATTTCCATCCTAACAAATTCTGACAGATCTGAAATCAAAAACATAGAAGGAGCAATATAATATTATAGATTTTTTAGATGAGATAAAGTATAGTACTAATGAAAAATTTATCAGCTGTATTAAGCAATTAACAGTACACATCAGTGAAAATTCCTATGTGAAAGAGTTTTTTTAAAAGAATAAATGCCTCTCTTAAATAAAGCTTTTGGAAATATAGAAGTGCCCTCTTTCTTAATAAAAAATTATAACATGATCAGTAACTTGTTAAAATTATCTTACAATAGTGCAAAACAATTTACGGGCTAGGCCCAAAAACCATATCAAAAAAATCGCTCAGGCTAGTATCATTGTTGAGAGCATACAAATGTATTTTGGCTCACATAAGGAATAATTAAAAAAAATTATGAATGTGTTTGAAATTTTCAAAAGAACTATACGCTCACAATGTTGCCTACCTATAAGAGCCCCAGTATAAAAGTCAACATCACGTGAATAATTCATTTAGCGAAGCTTGGGGTGATAATGGTGAATGAACTATGGCGCAAGATAATGAGGTAATCAACCATTTTAGCTGATATTATATATTTTTGATGTAGAAACGATATCTCTGATGTGGAATATGGTATAATCAATATATAATCATATATCGGCATCAAGTTGATGGAAGGAAATTTGTCCTCCTTACCCTATAAGGATAGAAAAAAATATGTTATTAACCCTTCCAAGTTCTACTTCTTCAGAAATGAAGGGGCTCACAATACAAAGAACAGAGACCTATTAAAAACTTTGCCTACAGGAAAATTAGTTATAACTTATAATTAATTATTTATAAATGAAATGGATAACGATTATATTTTTCAACCATAAAATTATTAGGAGAATAGAACGACATACCACATCCAGTGTAGCATATTTAAGGCGTCTTGTCCAAGATATAGTACTTTCGTTGCGATTAAGGTAAGGAATTTTTAAAGATGCTTTCATTTAAAAGAAAAAACGTGGATAACGTTTAATATATTTTAGATAGACATAATTTTGAATTTACACCAACTACATTCATTCATTATATTATATTATTGAAAGTTTTGAAATTAAAAATTTGTCGGCTCGTAACTTTTTTTAATTTTGGGATTTTGGTATTGTTGAATTATATATAAGTATACCTACAAAAATATGAATCGAATCGAATATTTGCATTGGTATTCGTAGGAATCGAATAATTCCTTATTTGTATTCGTAAAAATAATAAAGACATTATTCGATTTGATTCGTCGAATATTCGATGTTCAGATTTGAAAATTGAATCATTTAAAAATATTTTCAAAATGAAAAAAAAATCAGAAGTATGAAAAAATCTTAAAAATTTAAAAAAAAGGTATGTGATATCTTGAAAGATTTCTTGTGCATGAAAACTACAAAAGTACTAATAAAAGATTTTTTTTTACTATAAACATATTTGGAATTTTAAGTAAAAATCAAAAATCTTCAAAGATTTTTGCTCAAAAGATATCATTTCAAACTCCGGAAAAATTAGATCATTAAAATTTAAAATATGATTATTTATAAGATGTAGAAAATAAAGTAAAAAAAAATAAATTTTTTATAAAGAACAACTCAAATTATACGAATAATTTTATGGAATAATGGATAAAAAAATTAAACGACAAATAATATATTTCCCTTATTTTGGCAATTTTTAAGTGACATTTTATTGCGAATCGCAAGTGTAGGACGTGATTCATCAAACATTAATTACCGGTGTCTTTATTAAATTTAGCATATAATAATATAAAATATTTTTATTATAACTTTATTTATTTATTATTATTATGGTAATATGTTATAAAATAATTTCACATGATAGTACAACACACAGCTTCGTGTTTCTTCTGCATGGGAAAGGCATCAAGGACTAAATCCCCTTCTTTATTAATCCCAGAATCCTCAAAATACTGGGTTAGAATACAATCAGACTGATAATTTATCTCATTCTTTTCGGTAGAGTTTTGGAGCTACAAATTTTATTTTGTAAAAAAAATACAAAAAATTAACATTTAAAATATTTCGTTGTTGGAAATTATTTATGGGCTTTTAAAGTGATATTCTCATAGTTTTTGAAATTTTGATTCGACTCGTAATAATTAAATTAATTTGGTTTTCTTTAAAAAATTGCAAAATTTTAAAGAATAAATCCAATGTAATAGATATTGATCAATTAATTTTTTACTTGTTTAAAAAATATATGTATGTTTTTTACCAAAGACGTTTGTAATTTATAAAAATTAAAATTTCAAAAATCATGCTTATTTTAAATTTTTTTTAATATATACTATTTTTAAGAGAACTGTTATGATAATAGTATTTTATAAATGATGTCTTTTTTGAGCAATGATACTTTGATTTCTTCGTTATCGATTGACGCTGGTTTAGGGATTTGTTTGAATTCCATAATTTCTAGCTTATTTATTCTTTGTATAAGCAAAAAAAAAGAGCATATAATTGTTTAAAATTAGAGATATATTTAACTCTTCTAAAATTTCCTTAACTGGAGCTGGTTCTGAATTTAAAGATATCTCATAAAAATTATTTATTAGGTCTAAGGAAGTTCTTGTCGTAACAGCAGTTGTGGTGCCTTTATCATCAGCAACAATGTGATTTTCATTTTTATTATCCACCTTTTTAAGGTAATAAATTCAAAAAAATTTTTTTATTAGTAAATTTAGAAGCCAAAACGATAAAACATTATACCTTCTGCTTTATAGGTAAATTAGTTGCGCATTTATGGACCTGAGGAATTTGGTGATTTAGGTGTTGTTGTTTGACTGCTAAATGATTGGCGTTCTTGTCAATAGAGTTGTACCTTTCTAGCAAATTACCAAAAAATGTTTTAAAATTATTTTGTGTGTATCATCATGAATAGATTCAGATTAAATAAAACATAGACATATATAAAAAGGGAGAAGGGAGGTGGTAAAAGGAAATCTTCTCTTATATACCTGTTTTCGGAAATACCATTTTTAGTTACCCCCTATACACTCATTACTCCCTCCTTCCCCCCCCCCCAAAATTGTATACAAGGGCCAGGGCTAGACAACGTCTGAGAATTTTTTAATAGGCCGGACTGAGCAAAATTTAGATTTTTTTTCTGTATATATGTTAGCAATGTGTTATTTTTTCAACTTTCAAATCATTTTTTGAGCATGTTTTTAAAAATTTAAAAATATAATTTTACCGAAAATATATGCCATCATGTTTTGAATACCTACCCTACGAATTTCAGACAATTTTTTTCCATGAACTTTAAAATCCATATATTTTTTTATATAAATTATAAATAACTCAAAGGTTTACAACAAAATTGCCTAAAATTCATGAGATAGGTATTCCAATGATAAAATACATTTCAGGTATAATCCGATTTTTAAATTTTTAAAAACGCCCTCAACAAAATGATTTAAGTTGTAAAATATAACACATAGACGCTAACATATATATATTTATATTTAATAGAGTGTTTTTAATTTAACTACTCCCCCAAGATTATAAATGATTTTTTTTTATTTTGGTATTCAAAATATATATTTTGGTTAGGACCTTGGTAATTAAATTTTAAAAACTAGGTCGGGCAACCTTAGCGAAAAATTAAAATTCTGTCCGGGCAAAACCCAAATTCTCAATGGGCCGGGTTTGACCTGATAAATTTGCCATTTAGCAGACCTCTACAATATAATAACTGAGTTAATGAATTTTTAAAAATAATGACTATTTAATTTAAAATATTTAGAAAAAAAAGTATATATATATATATAATGTTAGCATGAATGTGTTCTTTCCGGCAATGTTTTATTTTTTCAACTTTAAATCATTTTTAAGCGCGTTTTTTTAAAAAATAAAAAAATATAATTTTATCGGAAATTTCCATCATGTTTGGAATACACCTATCTTATGAATTTTAGAACAATTTTGTTGTTAACCTTAGAGTCATTTATAATTTATATAAAACTTTATGGAAATTTAATATAAATTTTATTAAGTTCTAAAGTTCGTGGCAAAATTGTCTGAAATTTATAGGGGTCCCCTTCCCCTTCTTAGCAAAATCCTGACTACGTCTATGAAATAAGCATCTATTAACAAATAAATGTCAGAAATTTGGGTCAGTGTATGTTGTACTAAATTCTACAACAAGCTAAATTTAATTTTCAGTAAATATACTGATATTCTAAATAGTACTATCTTGAATAGTTTATAATTCGTTATTTATTCCTTAAGCTTCTAAATAAACTTTTTAGATTAAAATTAAACCTCGTTTTACATCTGAGTTGGTATATTGACTAAGCTTGACATTTAAAGGTGATGCAAGACCGCCATAGGAACTATAATTTTGTTGAGTCATTGAACTGTTCCAACCATTATCATTAGATGTAGTAAAAATATTATTACCATTATCATTACTAACACTTTGGTCAAAATAGCGATCTCTATCCCAATAAGAATCTGCCACTTGTTCATAACTGTTTGCACTGAAAGGTACTACATAACTGGTTCCTTTAACGTTTTTTAGCTTAAAGTATTCTCCTTTAGCGTTGACAAACACTTTAGCCTCTTTAACCTTCTCATTCAAAACTTTATAAGCCGTTAGTCCGGGCAAATCTTTACTAGTAGAGGTTGCAGAATTTACTTTGTTATATCCAGAGTCTAATGCATAATTCGCAGAGGTATATATCCCATTTTTAGGGGCATTAAAATGAATATTATAAGGGTTATAATTTATTGTAGATGATGTTAAATAAGTGGTGGTCACGACATTTTTATTACAATTATCATTTTTTGAGGGGTAGGGTTGATCAATATGGGTATTGATGTCGCCATAGTTATTTTTGATATAGTAGATCCCTTTTATGTTGTTTAGGTTTCTGTTATTGTAAACGGGATTATTGACAGCCACGTGATTACGGCTTAGGCCATAATTATTGTAATTAATATTGTTATAGTAACCGAAACTATCAAATTTTGGATAATGGCAGTATGCATTGTAGTTATAATTTCCGCTCGACATATATTTTTGATCGACGCTTAATATACCCGGTTTAACCGAGGAGTTAATTTTTGCATTAAAAGAAGGATTCAAAAAAAGAAAATTTTGTGGGTTTTGATGATTAAAATAATTTTGACCATGATCGAGATTGGCGAGAATAGGATATTTATTTGTGCCAATGTAACTATTAGCGTATTTACTGTTTACACAAAAACCTTTATTAAGATTATTATTGTGTGGATACGGAAAATTGATGTAATTTATTCCCCAACCCGAATAATCATTAGTATAATTTCCATAACCATACGAGTTAGCTTTAACCCTCATATCCAATAGAGGTTTGGTCATTGTAAGATGACTTTTAGGGGTCATTTTAATTGGTCTGCTAATGGAAATTGGCTTACCTCCCGTAACACGATTACTATTATGACTGTTGCTAGACATTTTGATAAATGTATTGCTTCTCCTATTTATAGAATGGTTAAAGCTTTTAACAGATGTTGTAGGGGTTGTTACCAGAGAGGAAAGAGAGGAAAGAGATGTTTTCATGTTTTCATCATTCGAGTTTACTTCCATTTCACAACTTTTATCATCTGAACCATACAGGGAATTATGATCAGGATTGTCCTTTAATAAAATTTTTGAGTCCAATTCCAATTCGGAATCTAATTTAGTTTGGAATAAAGTTTCTAAGGAAGTCATAACAGTTAGGATAGAATTTCCCCTTTTTTTCTTCAAATGTTAAAATGAATTTAATCCAATAATTTCTTAGGGGGGGGATCACGTTTTCTGAAAAAAAAATATATATACTCTTTTACAAATTATTATTATTTTTTGATAAATTTCAAACTTATGGCTATATTTTAAAAAATAAACAATAAATTGTTTAAAAATTTTTAATTTAACTGTATAATATTTTATAGAATTTATATTATTATTAGCTAAATACTAATCCTCATAAAAACTTCATTTTTAAATAAAACGTTTATATATTATTTTATAAATGTGAATGTCCTTCTTCAATGAAACGATTAAATTTTAAATTTTAAGTTGGATTAATAAATAAAAAGAAATAGATTATTTGATTTGAAATTTTTTAAATTAAATGAATAATAATATTAAATACCAAAAATTATAGATAATTAATATTTTTTAATAGATAAAATAACTTGAAAAACTATAAAATAAAGTTTTCTTTTTTCTAGGTGATTATGATAGACAAGTAGAATGTGCTGATTATATAACTTGCGATTCAGAAGAAGAAAAAAACAGCTGTTATTATACTAAATATAAATAAATTTTGCATGTTATTCCATTTCTGATTCAAAAAAAAATAATACAAAATCCTGTTATTCCATTCAAACAACTTTTAATGAACTGTAAAAAAAAATAGGTATTAATCGCCTATAAGCGCCATATATATAACAGTTATATATATACAACAAGAGCAAGCTTGGTTCTCTCATGAAAGCCCATCAGACTGGGATAAAAGATGGAAAGAATTAAGAGGACCATCTACATTTTTTTGGCAGACCCCAGCTACCTGAGCGCGCAAGAGGCAAAGCCACTTACTTAAACGGCCATGGGAAATAAGAGGATAGGTAAACGGCCATGCCCGATCAAATAACAATTTGAATATGGAAGGATTTTGTTGGCATGTTAATTTTAATTTAGCATTGTGAGAACCTAGAAATAAACATATGATTAAGAAAAATTAAAAACACCAGTACAGATACAATCACTTATCAATAAAACTAGTTATATATATACAACTTTTAAGATAATCAATAATTCCATATTCAATATCTAAGGTAGAGGAAAACCCGAACCCGAACCCAAACTTAAAAAAATAAAAAAATATTAAAAGTAAATAGCAAAGAGTTTCTAGATAATGGAATAGAACGAAGCTGGAATAGAATTACTTCTTATTTGTCAATGTCTTATATTTTTTTAAAAATAAAATTATCCCTCGAAATCGACATCCTCGGCTCTATGCCTGACATATCTTTTAACTTCCCTCTCCCGCACCTCCCCCCCCCTCCACTTTTTAAATATTTTATATTTTATATTTTATATTTTTTCAAATTTTAAATTTTAAATTTTTTTAGTTACATATTTTTTTTAATAAATATTAATTTTTTAAAAATGTTTTCGACATTTGAAATCAATATTTGAAATTGAAAATAAAAAAAATGATTTGGTCAATAAAAAAAAAAGTCAATAGTAAAAAAAAAAAAATTATTATAATAAGCGAAGAAAAAAAAATTTTGGAAAGATATAAAAGGTTTTTAGATCAGAATTTATTGTAGAATAAGGGGTGGATTGGGTTCTTATTAGTGTTGTTAAAGGCCCGATATGGGTCTATTTTTAAAAATCGCCGAATTAAAATTTTTGGCAGAATAGTATCATATAAGCCTCGAGATTTGGCAAATAGAGGCCCAAACCTTTCTGCCATCTCTGAGCAAAATCTTCAATATATACATTGCCTTTGCTTATATATTTTTTTCAAAATATACCTATATTATTTAATCCTGGAATACTTAAAATTAGTAAATTCGACGATAAATCTAGTTACTGAAATGAGACATTCTTTTAACATGAATTTTAGCTTTTAGATACATATTAACATGAATAATTTAAAAAAAATATGGCAAGTTCCTAGAGTAAGATTATTCTTGCATCAACGGCGCTGGCTTCTATAAACCTTTAAACAAAAATCTAATTCGTAGAAAGTTTGAAATGGGACAAATATATATGTCGTATCACTATCACTTCGTTCTGTGCATCATCTACACACTCGCAACTTTTAACTCTCAAGCCTAAGATTTAATCTTTAAAATCTGGGTAGATGAATGTCGGTCTAAACAGACGACCCGAAAGAAGGTCCCTACCTTCCTCAAAGACTTGCAATCCAGGTCATCAAATCAAATATTATTTGTCTTATTAATTCATCCCCTATTTTACTTTCTCTTTATTATGATCTCTTCCAAACCTTTCCTCCCAAACTAAAACATATTGCCTACCCATAGAATATTTTTTTCCCAGAGGGGGGGGGGGTATTATTATTTTCTAAATTCAGCTTTAGTTAGCAATAAGAATATAATTAACTTAAATCATGGCCCCCTTTATATATATAATCATTTATTAATTAAAACTATATATTTTTAAAAAAATAATCGAGTTTGATAATCGATTTTTCGATAATATTTTACTAGCGATAAGTCAAAAGGTATCAAAATGTTTAATATATTTTGCCTTTTCTCATTTTTAGGAATAAATAATGTTACCTGTATATTTAAATGATTTTTATTAAATCTTGAATAATTTATAATCATAATCATATACTAAAAAAACCATTTCTAGGCACATTTTATGGTAAATAGTCATAAAATTCGGGAAGAATTGTGGTTATAAATTTTAAGAAGGTTTTGTAAATAAAAGTATTCGAATAATTTTTAATTTTGATAGCAAGGATGAAAGCCAAAAATTATTGTACATTAGAAATCTGGAAAAGTAGGCCCGACTCGTACCCGGCCCGGCAAACGGGCTTCGGGCTGGGTCCGGGCCTAATATTTTTAAAGAAAATTCGGGCCGGGTCGGTTGGGCCTTAAAAATATTTTAAAATATAATGTTGAACTTTTAATGTTAAATAAAAGTATTCGGGCTTGAAAATTAGACTCGATGCAGATCACTAGTGTACATATCGAACGATTTTCAGATTGTATCCTTCTGAACAATGACTATTGACGGCAAATCAGTGTGATCATTGCAAACAATATGATATTTTTTGTGCTCAATTACCTAGCGAATTATTGAATTAAAACTAATAGATAAAATTATTTTTCACTATATTTATATATTTTCTATAAATCTGAGACCAGCAGAGACACCTTTGCACGGCTCGGCCCAGGTTTATTACAAATATATTACATTTATTATTAATTTTTTTTTAGCTAATAATGACGATTTAAAATATTTGGTTTGAAATATAGGGCCCGGGTATTTAAAATTTTTTTCCCTTATATTTAAAAAATTAAAATACCGAGCTTATCGGGCATACAGATCTGATATAAATTAAGGATGTATAATTATTCTGGAAAACAAATTCAAAATTTTGTTTACTAAAGTTATAACCATAAATGTTTAGTTCGATTTTTACGAAGATTCCTATCTGTATTCATTTTAATACTAATTTTATTTTTTATATATTAATATAATTTATAATAACATAATCATAAAACATTCGTTCCCTAATATATATAATAAATTTGCATTTTTTTGTAAAAAAAAATAAGTATATAATAAATATTTTTTTTGTAACAATAAATGTAGGGGTAAGAGTAACATCATTGTTCAAAATAAATGTATATAATTTAAAGCACGTTTGTGGTTAATGTATAAAAACATATTTATTTGGCCATATTTGTGGAAGAGGGGCAGAGTGAATCTATTTAGCTTAGAGACCATAAATTATGTATTTTACAAAAAATTACAAGTTAAAATCCAGAATTTATAAACTTAAATAACACATAATTTTATGTTATTTAGCTTCATAAAATCGTGCAAAATCTGGATTGGATTTGACTCCTCAAGTGATTACGGCGATCAGTTATCATCTTGACAAAGGAAAAGCGTCTGTGTTCATTAAGAGGAGTAATACTACCTTCTTTGTTAGTTGGCAACGGCAAGGCGTCTAGTGAACCGGCTGAATAAATTAAATTTTTAGATGAATCATTAGACATTATTATTATTAATATATATATATATATGTAATTAAATAGATAATAAGTCAATTTTCAAAGATATAAATCATTACCCACAGTATTTTACCTGGTAAAATATCATTTCAATCTTATAAAGTGTCATAAAAAAGAGATATTTAGGATTTGGTGTTGTTAAACGGCTCCTTTTGAGCCGATTTTTAAAAACGGCTAACTCAGTATTTTATCCAAAATAATATTACGCAAGCCTGAAGATTTTATTTGTAGAGGGAACAAAGGTTTGGATATCTATTAGCGAAATCTTGAGGCTTGGGCAATATTTTTCTGGCGAAAATATTGAGTTAGCCGTTTTTAAAAATCAGCTCAAAACGAGCCGTTTAACAACACAATTTAGGATTATGATATAGTAAGATCGATAAAAAGAAAGGTTTGTGGGGGGGGGGGTAACTTGAGAAAGATTTTGATTAAACTTACTCACCAAATACGGTGGATAGATGTGTTTGGCCTCAGGGGAAGGTAGGCAAGACCGGAATCTGCACCTCCATTGCCCCACCCCTCATATGAAATAAATGCACATTTTTTTGAAATTTGTTCTGTTCTTGTATAAATACGTATATGAATACTTATTTTTATGATTTAAAATTATTTTTGTTATAGACGATGTTAAATTTCAAATATTAAGAACAAAAAATAATTTTATCGGCCGAGTTTAAAATCAACCTACTATTTTAATATCTTAAAATGAATCACCAAAAAAAAATAAAAAAACAATTCAGAAAATAAATAAAATAAATTAATTTTTAATTATATTCGTTGTAAAATATATATTAGACCTTGTCGCATTATTCGTTAACTTTAAATGCGTTTGATTTATTGTAAAATAGACCGTTTTATGTGACATTTTTCCCAAATAAAATTATATTTCATACCCTAATCCCGTCTGTTTTATGCGTTGATCATGATTAATTCGTCCTAAAATTTTATTGTTTCACATATTTTTGGCAGACAAACTGTTTAAAATTTATATTAGATCATTTTTAGGTTGCCCCACCATACTCCCCCCTTTATTTTTTGAGCCTACGCCAATGGTGATAACTAGTGTTGCTAAACGACTCAATTTGAGCCGATTTTTAAAAACGGCTAACTCAATATTTTGGCCAGAAAAATATTGTCTAAGCCTCGAGATTTCGTTAATAGATGTTTTCAAACCTTAGTGCCACTTACGAGCAAAATCTTAAGCTTGCATAATATTTTTCTTAAAAAAATATTGAGTTAGCCGTAAAAATCGCCTCAAAATGTAACGTTTAACAGCACTCAAGCATTAATGACAAAAGGAAAGGTAAAGGAAGAAAGAAAAAATAAGCCTATTCTAATTGCATTTTACCTTGTAAAATATCGTTCTCAACATGAAATGTATCATTTCAAATTTGAAAAGTATACTCGTGTATCATTTCTAATATGCAAAATGAGTTTAATAAAATAATACTTTACAGATTTGAAATGAAAGTTTATAGGGTAAAAAAAAGAGGCTATATAATCTATTATATTTCGTAATATATATACAACTTTTATATGCTTATGTATTATATATGAAATTTAAAAATTATTTATAGAGAAAGAAAGAAGAGAAAAAAAAACTTATTCCGGTTTGATGGTGTTTAGCAAACAAGGACTTATTTCTAGAAACTTTCAATTCTCTCTTATTCTTTTCCTCCACAATTTCTTTGTTATTTATGTTATTGTAATCGGGCTTGTCATCCTTATCTTTGAGATCCTTCTCTTCCTCTTCCTCTTTCTCCTTCTTCTCGTTATCTGTATCGGGATTACTAGGAATATCATCTTCTTTGAGATTGTTCTGGCCATCTTTTATTTGCGAAGAATTTTTTCTTTCTATAATCATCGGGGTCGGTAAAATTTTCACTTGCATAATTTTTGCTGGTAACAAATAAATAAATAAGCAGATCAATTTGTAAGATATAGAAAAACTCTAAATAAAAGATTAATTTTTTTTTTTTATAAAAGTCTCTAACATCATCTAAATCGATTCCAAGACAGTTCTGCATATATACACCTTCCTTTAATATAAAAAATAAAATGGTATCTATAATATTTTCATGAGATCTGGAAATCTATGGGATTCTTAAAATCTAAATTTTAAATAATTTTCTATGGGCGAATTTTAAATTTGAAAAAACAAAACAAATATTGATTTGAATTATACTATTCATTTACTCCCCCCCCCCCTCCCCGGACTAGTGTTGTTAAAAAGCACTATTCGGGCCTATAAGGTTATAATCAAAATGATATTATGTAAAGCTAGTGTTGTTAAACGGCTCGTGTTGAGCCGATTTTTAAAAACGGCTAACTCAATATTTTATACAGAAAAATATTACGCAAGCCTAAAGATTTTGTTCATAGAAGGAACAAAGGTCTAGACATATATTGTCGAAATCTTGAGGCGTAGGCAATATTTTTCTGGCTAAAATATTGAGTTAGCCGTCTTTAAAAATCGGTTCAAAATGAGTGGTTTAACAACACTATAGAGCCCTGGAAATTTTGCTCATAAATGGTAAAAAAAAGGTTTGGACATCTATTTGACAAATCTCGAGGTTTGCACAATATTATTTTGGGAAGAATCTTATCCAGGCCATTTCGGGCCAAATTGAGCTTTTTAACAAATGGGACCACTCATTATAGATTATTATTTTGAAAAATGTTTTTATTATAAAATAGCAAATATATAAACGAACAAAAATTTAATATAAAAATTATTATATTTAAGAAGATATCAAAAAATATATAAGGATTTGAAATGTGTAAACTCTATTTCAAAAGTATTGACCTATTTTAATAAAATTATATATATCTACCTTTGCCTTTATAATTGCAGTGATTCTTTGTGGAATTGAATAAATAAGATTTTGGCACATATTGTGGGATATTTATTTGCAAAACTCTGATTTATTCTTCAATATATCCTCTTTTATTTTATATACTGTCTTTTAAGCTTTAATTTAATTGAAATTTTGAGAATGGTAACAGATGGATATTGTGATCTTTGCAAAAGTTATTGTAGGCGATAGGCGCTATATTCTTGCTGTAATATTTGCATTCATGTCACATTAGCCGAATTGAGAATCAGTATCGTTGAGTGTATCTTGATATTTAGTTTGTTATAAATCAAATACATCCTAGGTCTTTTGCATTTATGCAACCTCATATCATTATACTATACGGAAACTTCGAATCTTAATGAATATATAGGAAGCTTTTTGCTTTGGGGTCTTTTAACCATATTTCTTACAAATCAAATATTTGTAGTTCGTGATTGCATCTTTATTCAATTAACTTAAAACCCTAATTTAATCTTTTATTCTTGTTTTATGTTGTTAAAATGAGTTTCTTCTCAGGTTATATTAATTGGTATTATAATTTTTTTTTCTCTTCTGGAATAAAAATATAAAAATATAGTTTTCGTTGATAAGTTGATATGGAAACGTCTCCCAATTGCAAAATTTTCATCTAATCATTATTTTTGAAGTATCGACATGCCGATTTTTAAGAACAATTATTATAGAATCCTTTCATCTTCTTCTCTTTTGAATTAGATATCTTTAGATACTCGAAATACCCTGGCAAAAATAGCCCGCCATTTTTATATTTATCCGAGTATGAATATTTGAGATCTTAACTCTACCTATTAAAATAAGAATATTAAATAAAGAGCACTAGAAGCACTTGAACCGTCATTTGAAGGGGTTTTTCATTTTATTGCTGTTAATAACTTTCGATTTTTCCAAAAATATATCTCAAGTTTCGTGACCTTCATTTATTTTCAAACTATTTGGATTTTCACAAAATTCCGGTTCGCCCAGAATAATATTAAAAATTTGATTAATGGATTTTTCCTATGATCACTTTGACGATTTAAAGGCATACTCCTGGGCCAGAAATTTACTCAATGTATAGAGTAATGAACCAATATCTGCATTTTAGATTATTGCGATGACTAAATTATATTCAACCAGAAGTATGAGTTGGTTTATCATAGTTTTTATAGGATCTTTGATTATCTACTAACTAATTATGTAAACAAATATCTCTAGAAAATAAATTTTCTCAATTGCTGATTAAAAATATTAACCTAAGAATATTAATAATAAAATAAAAGGTTATAAAATCAGAAAACAACGTAGTAACGGTCTTTTTAGCAAAAATCGAACTATTAATACGTGCTTGTGTTTTTAAACGGCCTAATTTAGAAAATGGCTGACCCAATATTTTTGCCCAAAAAATATTATGGAAGGCCTGGAGACTTTGCTGATGGCAGAAAGGTTGATATCAATTAAGAAAATCTCACGAGGTTAGCGTGCTATTATTTTGGCTAAAATCTTGATTTAAAATTGGGTAAAATGAGCCGTTTAACAACACTACTACAAATATAGGAAACCTGTGTTTGAAAATAAGTTTATTACATTGTCCAAAATATATGCAAAATCTAACAGAATTTTTATTTTCTAATTATATTGCAATTCATATAATATTTTTTAAAAAAATCATAAAATTAAGTGAGAATAATTGCAGATATTTTATGAGTATAGACAACCGACAATTGACGGTTTTGCTGTTTTAGATATGACAAAGTTTTGGTGCTTCTAGTGTTTATAAATTGATTAAATTAAATATAATTTTTTTAAAAAATAATAAAACGGACGATATTTAATTTAAAAAAATTGAATAGATGAATTAACAATGAGAAAACATTTTGGCGATAGCGTAAGTGGGCGGATATTTATGCATAAGGTGCGATTTTTAAAACACATATATTATTCCTATAATTTTTTAAAAAAAGTGAAATTATAAATTAAATTTCTACATATATTGATATCATATATATTTATATTTAAAGTTATTAATAAATTTTTGAATTTGAAAATTAATTGATATAAGCTAAAAAATGAAAGGTAGCTGAATATCAATGAGATGGGTTGTATATTAATTAAAATTATTATATAGATTTTTCCTAAATATTAAAAAAAAACACAAATGTTCATTGCAAAAATAATTATTCCTCTATATATGCTGGAATTTATTTACGGTTCAAATCATATTTTTGAAATTTAAATATTGCCCTCAGTAAATAATTTATAATTGCCAAACTGCGAATCCCTATGCGATCTAATATTCCGCTGATTTAAGAGTATCAAAAAATGTTACAAAAATTTCTATAGGAAAAAAAACCAAAATTATGTATGGCTTCATGATTTGCGTCTTCTTGTTTATTTTGGGTGTCAATTTTATCTGTATTGTCAAGTGTTTTACCCTCCTTAGCATGAATAAAATCTTTATTATTTTGATTATCATTTAGAATTATGTTATCGTTGATTGGATTATTATCATCCGCCATTATATCGAGATTTGCTTCACTTAAATCAGGGATTTCCTTAGCATCTTTTTCTATTTTCATTACCTCTTTATAATATTTAAAATATCGTTTATAAAAACGATAAAATTTTATTAGTGGTAAAAACTGAATCGCAAAATGATAAATATATATATATATACCTCTCACAATTTGGTAAGTGTTGGAAGATCTAGGATCACTCATTTGCGCCAGATGGAATACCCACGTGGAAAAGTCTTTGTTGTTTATATCTTTGCAAAAGTTAACCAAATAGAAGTATAATGCAAATAAATCAAGCAAAGCTAGCTTAGTTTAAGCATTTAAATGATTTAATTTTTTTCAGTTTATGGTATAAATTTATTTAATTAAAGACTAAACTATATGTTATGTTTGATATTTGATCGATGATGCTTGAGTTCTCTTCTTCGTTAAGTGTTGCAGATGCTTCCTTTTGGACAGAATTTTCGTAATAAACTTGGAAAAAGTTTTTAAAAGTAGATTCCTCATAAGGATCTTTGGAATTTAAGTTGATTGTTGAATCAATATCTGCCTGAGCCTCCGGAGAGTTTAATTCTGAGGTGGTATCGCTGCTTAAGATAAGTTGGCTTTGCAGTTGATTGGGATGACATTTGAAATAAGTCTTTAATAAATATTAGCATACTTAATTTTTAACTTTTTTTTGATTGAGTTATCATAAATTGATCTAACTTTAAACTAAAAGAAGAACTTATGAGTATGAATAATAAATCCAAATAGATTGATTATCAACCCAAAAATATATTTTATAATAATATACATCAGATACCTATAGGCTCGGCCCTAAGCAGGCTCGGCTCAGTCCGGAAACACGGGCTGGGACCAATTTTTTAAATTTAAATACCGAACTGAATTTTAAATTGTCATTATTATCTATAAAAATTCTAAATAAATGAAATATATTTAAAAATTGTGTATCATAGAAAAATATATCACGTTCATTCACTTATCATATTTCCTATTTCCATTTTTTCGATCCTAAGAAAATATTTATAGTAAAATAGTATTCAAATCAATTATTCAACTAATCATTATTTTAGGTAATATCCAATCAAATTAAAAACAATAAAGATACACCCAATATTCAAAATAAAATATACTAACAGGAAAAATTTCTTTTAGATAAGTATAATTTTATCGCACTATTTATCTGTCCCAAATTCGGGCAATTACTTATTCTGCCAGGGAGAGAGAGCAAAATGACTGATACATATTTAAAAGACTATATTAAATTAGAGGAACAGGAAATAATGGAATTACCATCGACCATACTAATTGAAAGTGTAAGTGATATGCTCTAAGGCCGTAAAAATTTTACGTCTTGACCATCTCACATCCGGGCCGTGCAAATTTTATCTTTGCAAGTCTCTGATATACATTCTAACATGATGAACATTATATACATAAAAATAATATTTTCCTGGATTTATGACATGATTGCAATATTTACAATTTTCCCTTTTATTTATTTTCTTCGTGACTTCTAGGCATTTATTTTACTTTTTTTTTTGATTATTATGTTATTAATTATTATCAAAGAATTTATTTATCACTTGATAAAAGCATCCGGGGTAAAGTTGCAGAAATTTCTCTATCCACGTCAACAACTTAGCCATCTCCCGACACATGGCTTTTACCAATCTCAAGTTTCTGGTGTTATCTGATATCTTGATATTGGGATGTATTACATCTATGGATATTACATTATCTTCTAATTTGATAATTTCCATGATCTTTATAAAATCATATTTAAAGGATTATAAATATTAACATTATAAAAAAAATATTTTTTCATTATTTACTTCAAATAATTTTTGAACCGTTAACTAAGTTTAGAAATGGAATATTTCCTAAAGTTAGATATTTAATTATTTTATAAGACTACATCTATTTGGTATGAGTCGTATAATAAAGGGTATATTAATCAACAAATTGAATAAGTAGAAATTGCCATTTGAATTGGCAAGTGTTAATAATAATATATAGCTATTTATCCTTGTTAGTCAGTACAATGAATTCCGGTGCGTAATCAGATGGGGGGAGGAGGAGAAAATTCCTCATTTTTAAATTTTCTTATTCTCATAAATATCATTTTAAGCTAATAAAAACTTCCCCTCTACATAAACCCCCCCCCCTCCTCTCCCGAATTTGAAAGAAATATTAGTAAAAGTTAATAACTTTTTGAAATAATTACTATAATTCAAAATTTTCAGAAAAAAAATCTTTTTATTATAACTTAAATTTTTTTACCTGGCTACTCAATATAAATCAATAGCAATATAATACGATTATATGGAAAATATTGTTTAAACTAATATCAGGCATTGAAAAAAGTCTGTAAGTTATTATAGTAATAAAGAAACCCATAAAAAAACTAGTACATACCAGCCCCATATTACACATCGGGGTAGACCTATACTATATATAATATACTTTTCTAAAAAATAATAGTTACTTTATTCTTTTGAATCACGAATGTATTTCCGTTAACGAAGATTGATTTTGTAAAGGATTTTTCCATGAATTTCATAATCAAGTAATTCTTCATATAAAGAAGTAAATATTGGTTTTCTGGCATCCAAAATCGGTATTCCCATGAAAGGGATAATCTATTTGATTCCGCCATTTTGTCGATGCTATTAACCTTGTTTTTTAAATAAAAAATGTTTAAATGTAATGGAATACATAATGTATTTCATAAAAAATTTTTATGTTAATAGATTATATCCTTTTTCAACCTATTTCCCAAACAGCCCGTTGATAGCTTCGACTAAACCACCTAAAAAGTTAAGAGAAAAAAAAACAAATAAACGAAAACAATTCCAACAAACATTTAAAACAAAATCCAAATAGGGTGTCCTAGTTCAAACGCTGTTTTACTATTTGTTCTTTTAAACAAAATTTAAAATATACTTATATATTTAATGATATCATCGGTCTCCCATAAAAATAAAATAACAATAGAGTATACATGAGATCGCGAATATGACACGTGGGTATAAAAATCCGGATATAAAGATATAATGGCAGAAAATAAAAACGCCTAATGTTGTATGAACCAAAGATGAGTCGTGATTTAGTCATTATTCACAATTAGTGTGGGTAATCAATGATTCTATTCAAAAAAATTTATATGCAAGGCTGGGATTTTATTCATCATATATTAATAAAAAGGTTTGGCATCTATTAGAAAAATCTCGAGGCTTGCCTAACATTATTTTGACTAAAATCTTGATTTAAAACTCGCTAAATCGAGCCGTTTAACAACACAAAGAGCAATTACTTCAAAGAAATCTTGGGGAAATCTTATAATATATGTGTCCAGAGAGCCCTATCTAATATTGAAGAAAGAAATTAGAAATGTGAACAAAATTATGACGTCATATCTGGGTAAAACTTAGATTTGCAGCAAAAAATGTTGCCAATGAGATCCAGATGGCGTGCAATTTAAAAAAAACTGGTAATATAGCATATAGAGAAAAAATGGTGAACATCTAGAAAATAGTAAAAAAATAATGTAGAAGTCTTTCAAAGAAAAAATATCGCATTTTAAAGATAAAAAAAAGAAGATAATAAGAGGTGTAAGAGGAGAAGCAAAAGCAGTAATATATGTAAGCATTATAAACAATCTGGTAAATATGACGTAAAAATAGTGTTGTAAACGAACGCGTTCAAAATGAACGCGTTCGTGAACGAAGTTCATTTTTTTGAAAAAAGGTGATGAACGGCGTTCCTTTTTTTTGACGAACTTTGAGCGTGAACGCGTTCCTTTTCTTTGATGAACGCGTTCAATTTTACGTTCGTTCAATTTTAAAAACACTTTTTATTTTTATTTATTTGAAAAATTAATATCGCATTTTTTAACAAAAAAGTCTTATATTTTTATTTATTTGAAAAATTAATATTTAATCCAATTTTTTAACAAAAAAGTCTTATATTTTTTAATCAGCTGTTTTTACTTTTTCCTTTTTCATATTGCAATTAACGTACCATAGTGCTGCTGCTAGAGAAGATAAGATTAAAGTTTATTAATTTGAATATTTTATATTTTAATTTAATAGATTAGCATTTGCATGGATATAAATATTTCATCATCAGATTCTGAAAATCAAAATTCAATATTAGATGAATTAGAATTACCATGGCCCAAATAATATCAAAAATATTTCACTGTTTTAAAATCAATTCCGCGATATCCTTTTTTTTTGACGAGGAAGAAGAGGGCAGATTGGAGGATGATAACATAGCTCAATTTTTTGAAACAATGGATAAAGCATTAAATGTTTTTAATAAATTCCCCCTTTTAAAAGAATTGTTTATCAAGTATAACACCGCAATCCCTTCATCTGCCCTTGTTGAGCGAGTTTTTAGTATAGCTAACGCTGTATTAACTGACAAGCGTTCATGCCTATCAGATGAAAATTTTGAAAAGCAATTATTATTAAAAATTAATAAGAAAATTTTTTTATAAATTTATTTTTTTATCGCTCTATTATATTATATTGTATTTATAATTATATTATCAAAATAAAACTATTATTTTTTATCATGGCTAATATATTGTGTTAAAAAATATAAGGCATTTATTTATATTAAATTTAATTTTAAAAAAAATTTATCATAAAATTTTGAACGTATGAACGCGTTCATGAACTTGAACGCGTTCCTTTTTTTGAATTTGAACGTGGACGTGTTCGATTTTTGTCAATGAACGTTGAACGCGAACGCGTTCGATTTTTTTAAAAATGTTTACAGCACTACGTAAAAATCAATATTAGAAATAGGTGAATAAGGAGGCTAACAACAATGTGTACAATATAACACCGACAAAAATGGGACAAAAGATGAATATAGGAATATACTCATAAATAAAACCTAAAAATAGTGGAAAGATGGAAAATATATAATAATGAATTTAATAAAGGAATAATAAGTAATAACAATAGAAACTAAAGGATAACTTAAAATTTTAAACAATAATCATTATCATTGGAAGATTCTGAAATGAATGCTCTTAAAAATATAATTTATGAGTCTTGATGACATTGCCATATGTGTTTTTAAATCGGGGCAGGAAGTTATTATTTAAGCGAACGGCAGAAAAGCTTTTACAAAAATATAAAGAAGAAACTGATGCTTATGACACAAAATCATTTAAAAATATTTGTGGAGCATTTAAAATTGACGACAATTGTTTTGTTTTTATGCTTGGTAAATCATCTAACTTAAAGAATTGCATGGTGCTTACTTTTATCTATGATACGGTGGAATTCATGGAAAATAAAGTTTTGATTCTTTATATTATGTATGAGAAACAAACTAAATCCATATACTTGCCAGTCGAAAAAATTAAAGTTTTGCATATAGATTTCCGAGAACATAGGATTGCTTTCTTTATTATTACTATAATAGGTTCTTACAAAAAAATCTTGGAGTTAATATGCATCATTGATTGTAAGTAAAAACAAAATGGCCGAAAATGAAAGAGTAAAGACGATGATAACGCAGAGATAAACTTAAAATAAAATTAAGACCAATGGATGATTGTAAAAACTTGGAATCCACATTAATTAAAATAAGCATGAATGTGGACTGGATGAAATAGTTAAGTCTGCCCTCCAGTTATATGTGGCAAAAACATGCCAGGATATTAGGGAGCTTGAAGATGGTTCCCTCAAAAATGGGACCACACACTAAAATAAAAAGACACGTAACGATAGGATCAGATTATTATGTTGTAAATTCGAGAATATATACATTGAGTCAAATGGAATGAGGGAACGGATGATTGTGCAATTTTGACTAATATATTACTATATGAGATAAAACCTCAGCGAGTTGGCGTTTAATGTTTAAGTACTCATTGTATAACTCCGCGTTTGTGGCATTAACTTGTTTCGAACTGAGTTCGATCGTTATTAGTCCTAATTGTGTGGCAAGAGTTTTACATGATGCTATCTTTAAACATTAAAATAGACATAAAATTTAAATATTGTAAATTAAATAGGTTACTTAAAAGTATAACTTCGCCCTCTTATCTTTATCAATCTTCGTATAATATGTGTTTAACCAAATTTAAAATGATTATATGTGTATATTAAAAATGGATGAATATGTGTTTACCGAAATAATATTATTAATAAAATTAAAACCTCCTTTTCATTCATAATATTTGTATCATTCTCCGTGTTCGATACATCATAAACGGGAGCGTTACTATCATTGTTAGATATTCCTGATAGTCCTGAATAAGTAGACCCCATGTTTTCATCCATATCATGAGAAGTCAATTGTACTATGGAATCTGGGTTGTTAAGTGTTTTCGATAGGACATTCTCCCAATGATTAAGTCCAGACACATAGTCATGAAATTTGAGGGAGTCCAATATCACAGTATCTATTTGGGATGGTCGAGGAAAGTCTTTGAAATATCTAAAGGAATCTATCAAGCCCTTAAAATAATTATTTATCTTTAAATATAAAATATTTTGCCGAAAAATAAGATTTTGTCAATTATTATTAATTTTATGCGCAATTTTTGGAGGAATTTCTTTTAGAAATAGTTTTTGGTAGGTTTGGAGAAGTAGAGTTTATGCCAACCGAAGATTTGGAAACCTTTTAAATTTATCGCTTAATAGAATATAAGCACTTTCGATCATTCCATGTATATATGGAAATATATTTAAAAGAAATTAAGTGTGGCCCATAATAGTGAATATTTTTTGTAAAATATTTAAAGATTGAAAAGTTTGGTATTTTATTTTTAACTGTCATTTCAAACTTGTAATAACATGCTAAAGTTTAAAGCGCACAGAAAAATTTTTATTTTTAAAATTATTACGCATATTTGAAATTTTACACTTTCAAGTTTAGAAGAGCATACCTTAATATTATATATCTAATTCCAAAAAAAATTGAATCCAATTTGCGGAAATAGAGAACGTTAACAAAAGAATTAAAAAAATATATATATAATAACTTGAAATATTATATATTTAAAAATAATCTTTGGTGAAGGTGGCACAAAACCTTTTTTATCAGTGAGTGTAAGCCCTTTTCCAAGTCAAGATCATTGGAATACATGCATTGTATCTTCCATTTGCTTCTGCATTCTTTCCAGTTGGCCAAGGGTACGTCACGCTTTTTAAGTTCCATAATTAGGCATAGAAGTAAGAGATCGTTAACATTGACCACATTTATCCCGTCATTATATTGGTCCCCTTTGTCTGTTAAGAAGGTGGGCCTTATATTGGGCACATAATCGTCTACATATTGGTCTTGTATTACGAAGTTTAAGCTTTTGATTATGTTTAATAGCTTTCTGCCTAACATATCTTCGTCCTTAATTTTGCAATTAATATAAACTATTGAAAAAGAGGGAAAATTTAACGCTTGTATAGCATATGTTGAGTAGGGGAAGGGGTAAAGTGTAAACACGTCAACTAAAACTCCCCTTGATAATTGGAAAATAGTGATAAAACTCGGAGATGGGGAGGGTGGTTGAAAAGAGCTTGATTTCTGAGTCTATAGAATAAAGAAATACCAGACCCTTAGGAGATATTTTGGCAAAGGTGCTGATAAACGTGCTTAAACATTAATTTTTACCTTAATATTTAAATTAAGATTATTTTATTTAAAGAAAATATAGTGCCAAAAATTTTTGGTAATATCGTTTATAATCTCTCCAAATTATCCTTATTTTTTACAATCATTTCCAATTTATATATTAAAATGGTTTTATTGTTAATTTTAAAATTAATAATAGTTTAAGTTTAATCATTTATTTATTTTTTTTCAAGACAATGAAAGTGAGATATTTATGAATTGAGAAAATATTTTAAAAACATTCTTTTAAAAATAATAAATTTATAGATTTTATGTTATAATATTGTTGTAAACATCGATTTAGCCTATTATAAAATGGATATATAAAGAATCTATCTAAAATAATATTTCTTAAGCTACAAGATTTGGTTAAAAGAGTGAAAAAAACCCTTTTGTCATCTATACGTGAAATCTCGAGGTTCAACAATATATATATTTTTTAAGTTAAAATCTTGATTGATGTTTTCCAACAACGCTAATTTCATGAGTTTTAGGGGAAACGTGGTAAAGTTTAACTACTGTATTATACATTCTAATTATTTTTTTACCAATATCCCTGGTTCATATTTTTGGTCAATCTCTAGTTTGATAAGGGTAGGCAATCGTGTGAGCATATACGCTAATTTCATATATCTATTTTGGCACATTAAAGACTTCGTCAATTTTCTTTTAAATATATAGTATTAATATATAATATATATATCTTATTCAGCAGAATCGCTAGCTTTTTCAATCTAAAAAAGGGGCTTATTTTTTATAAAATATTTCAAAAATTACCAAAAAAATTAGAGGTTATTTTATCTAATGATCACTAAAAAGGCAATTTTACTTGAAATTATCAAAAAAAAGGAAATTCATATTTAAACATATATTTTTCGGGGGGGGGGGGTGAATGGCTCCATTAGGAGGGTTTGAAGCGCTCCTCCATAAAATCGTTAATGTTTACAGAATCATTGATAAACTTATTAATTATTATACAAAATAATGTTTTCGTGTATATATTTTATTTTATTCGATATTCCCCTCAGATGCTTAGCAGATCTCTCATAGGCAAGATGTGTAATTAGTTTTAATATCCGAAGCATATTATAATAGAAACAATCAGAATCTACTTTAAAAAAAATCCTTAGCCCTAAGTTCGAACTTCGAGATTGTGATTAGTATAAAGCTTGCTAGAACTGTGACTATATGGGGGCTAATTATTTAGATATCTTAAAGATCTTCTATTTTACCCCAAGGAAGAAACTGAGGAATTAAGATGAAAAAAAGATATAATAAAATAAATGAATCCAGAATAAACCTTAGGAAGTCTATTTCTTGATTGATGGAAATCTCCAAATTGGTAAACATCTTTTCCGTTCTCTCATACAGACTTTGAATGTCAGACGATCTATGCTTATTTTCTTCATCTTGTAGTATATCAAGAATCAGGAAAGTTGAGCCTGGATTCTAATGATTGTTTAAACGTGTAAATATAAAAGGTCTTAAAATTAGACTCAAAGAATTAATAAGTAAAATATTTAGGCATTTTGGCATGTATATGTCCAAAAAATGCTATTTTTCAACGAGTTTTCAAAACCATTTTAAAAAAACTTTTAATTTACTTAAAAAAAACCTTATTTTTCATGAAATAGAAACTCAATAAAATATTTGAAAATTTCTGACACAAAAATCAAGGGAAATAAAGCCAAAATAATAACGCATTTTATACATGGTTTTATCTTGAACCCTGATATTAATAAATATCATTATCAGATGAAGAAAATAACATTGCTAGAAAACTCCTTAGACATACTCGGCATGTAATTAAAATGATGATAAATGTATAATGATATGCAATTCACTTCCTTCTAGTTCAAGACAAATATAATTAACCCGACTCTGAGGATGACTTTGAATTCTTTTGCATAAAAGATAAAAAAAAATAATCAAAATATATACTTTGCTATAATAAATTCTATTGACGGTATCGAAAGGATTAAAATCACCTTCTTGTATATTGAGAAGGAATAAAATTTTTGCAATTTAAACTTTAGATATTAGCCACAATTGCCCTTTCTGTACTAATTACTATGGTCCATAGAAAAAGATTTTTTAAGATTGAAATATATTTTGTAACCTACAAAGAACAAGATTGGACATTCGATTATTTTAATCACACGTTCTAAACAATCACTAATTTTTTAACCCCCCCCCCCCACCAAAGTGCCGTTACTAATCAAGTTGTATTGTTACTTTTCAGCACTGATATAAATATATATATATGCATTATTAAAGGTGTGGATTACTCTGGTTTGAACCGATTGCATAAAAGATAGGAGCGAGGAGGTTGAAGCGTTATCCTGCTCTTCGGGTTCACTCAATATCACGTATATGGAATTATTGAAGGATAAATATTCAAGTTGTAAGCTGTTTATCTAGATACATAAAATATCCAAGGATAAATAAGTCTTATAAAAATATATATATAATGAATATTTATCTAATTAAAGGATCTTAATAAAGGGAAAAATTGATCCTTAAAGCTATTTAAACCTTGAATTCGAAATATCAGACTAAAAAAGGAACAGAAATTTTGTTTAGTTGATATAAAATATAATTCACTATCATAAATTCGGAATACGTAAGGATTAGGAATATCCTAATTTTAAAATTTTAACTAGGGTGATGGAAAAACCCGATATTACTGGAAAAGTTTACTTCAGCAACCATATGAATTTCAAGCAAAATTTTCACGAACTTTTGAACTATAATATATATATTTTTTTGTGCATTAAAATAAAATATACTAGAGTTCTTCAGCGAAATTGCCTGAATATTATAGGGTAGTTACTAGACACACATGCTGGAATACCTTCCATTATAAAATCAGATTTTTCTATTGTATTTTCTAAAAAGTAGGAGGTTAAGTAATACGGTACGTTTTACATTACTCGTTTACTTTATATTTTATTATTATATATTTTAATCATTTTATATTTTATTATAATTTATTTAAGTTAAATGAATACATTCTTTGGGAAAATCTTAAACAATTTCCAAACATTAATAAGTTGATTTGTCAAAGTAGGAGCAAAATCAGTATAGAAATGCCAATTCCAATTTTCCACTTCAATTAGTTTTTTTCTAGTGATATTAAACGGCTCGATTTGAGCCGATTTAAAAAAAAGGGCTAACTTGATACATAAGCCAGAAAAATATTGCCTATGCCTTGAGATTTCTCTAACAGATATCTAAAACTTTGTGCGAATCTATGAGTAAAATCTTCAGACTTCCGTAATATTTTTCTGAATGAAATATTGAGTAAACCGCTTTTAAAAATTGGTTAAAATCGAGCCGTATAACAACAATATATTTCTAAAAAACTTATTGCTATTTATACATCAATAGGCAATTTATTTAGCTAAACTTAGCGGATATTTTTTTAAATAATTTATAAATATTATACCGGATTTAGATCAATGAGCCATATTTCGATGATGATTTGATTTTCAGAAAACCAAATATCCGTATTATTTTCCTGATGTATTACATCTGATTTTTAAGTTGATTTATATTTAACAAAAGAAAGGATATAAATCAGCTCGAAATAAAAGGTATAAAAGGCCATTTACTACAGCTGGCATTAGCATCTACATTAAATGGAAGAAATAAAAATGTATTTTGTTTTTTAGTGATAACCACATATTTATATAGTTAATTAATAGTGCTCATAAATTGAGCGCCTACGTTTTGCCACACTTTTTAAATTGAAAGTTTAAATTGAGGTTGCCTATTATATTTAGCATCGATTCAAAATTAAATTTTAACTAAGTTATAAAAAAGAATTTATGTAAAATCGTCTGCCTATTTATTCCATTAATATTCAATTTTAAAAGATAAGTTATTTTATTTTATTACATTTATATAATATTAAATTTACATGTAATTAAACAACTATAAAGAGATTTAGTAACTTCGCGCACCCCCCCCCCCCCTCACCCCTTCTCTTATTATTCTTATCTGGGTAACAAGGTTTTGTCTTGTTTCTTGCGGGAAAAAAGCTAGTTCTTTAAGAAAATGGCTGCTAATCAACGTGCAAAATGAACGAATGAATAAAAGAGTCTTGGAAAGTGCAAACCAGCAAGCAGTAATTTGGTCAATTTGCACTAGACCATTTAACTTATTATTTGCCCTTGCAATTTAAGGATTCGGATAAATTAAATAAAAAAATTTTTCCCATAGTACGAGGTATAGTCACTTAGTACACAATAAATATATAATAATTGTTTAGAATAAATTTAATTTTAAAAAAGTGGTGTGACCAATTTTCGACTCCCCCAAGTTATGTACAGATAAAATATTTCAAGCTGATAAAATTTCTATTTCCTCGAGTTATATATATATATTTTTAAATCAAACTTGATTTATACGATTGCCAGGGTGTGGATTTTTTATTTGTTTTTAATTAGTATTGTTAAACAGCTCGATTTGAGCCGATTTTTAAAATGGCTAACTCAACGTTTTATTCAGAAAAATATTATGCAAAACCCTAAAGATTTTACTCATAGGTGAGTTTGAACATCCATTAGCGAAATTTCGAGCTTAGGCAATATTTTTCTTGCTAAAATATTGAGTTAGCCGTTTTTATAAATCGGCTCAAATCTAGCCGTGTAACAATACTACTTGCAATGCAGTAATCAGTTAATGCGATGGAATATATTGGGTCGGATTAGAGTTTTAAGATAGTGAGATAAAAAAAAGAGGTACATTTTGCCTCCCGAAAAATATGAATTGACACAGAATTAAAATTTTAAAATAAAGATTAAGACCAGGAAGTAGGTCTGGCCACCACAGAACGATTTTCAAGTCTTTACGAGTGGCTAACGATTCTAAATGACCCAAAGTTTCCAAAATTCGTAAAATATCGCAATTGTATTTCGTTTTGAAATGAGGGTCCTCGATTATAAATATTTTGATTCTGTAAAAAAAAATAAATAGAAAAAGGAGTTAAATAATTGCCCTTATACAAATTATAATAAATGTAACCATCAAAATGAAGTATTAATATTATATGTGTAAAAGAGAAATTACCTATTGAAGATATTCATTCGTCTAAAATATTTTTGAGTATCCCGCAAAGATTGTCCCATATGGAACATGCGTGTGCTATAAGTGGTAAAATCGACATCATCATTTGAAGTGCTAAAATAGTCATCATAATAATGGAAGACGTATATATCGTCATTTAAGCCGAGAGACTTCTGATTCAGTTCCTTTCCGGGTTCAAATGAATAGGTATAATCGAGGCCTTTATCTGACCATCGAAAAAATTTAAGATATTTTAAAAAACAAACCGCTATAATAGGGCATATTACTATTTCAAAATCTTTCATTGATTCGATATCGCTTTCTTTCCACAAGGCAGACTTTTTTATCAAACCCGTATTTTCCATGTTTAAGTACTGTAAATTATTGTATCTGTATACGATAATGAACCTTAAGGAGTCAGCTGTGACAAGTTTGCAATAGGATACATCTAGGCTATTTAATCGGAGAAACTTTTTAACGAAGAGTATTATACAGTTGTCGTCCACCTTTGCACACCAAGCTACCTCCAAGGCTCGGATAGAAGTACAATTTTGGGCCAATCTTTGAAAGCCTTCGATAGTAAAGTTCGGAGAATGATTGAGAACCAATTTGACAAGTCCTTTGTTATTATGGGATATGGCGTAAAGCGTTTCATCGGTCAACAATAGGCACTCGTTCAAATTAAGATTTTTGAGGTATGGGAAACATTCCGCCACGTAAGCCACACCAGTGTCATTTAACCACCATTTTTTGACCTCTTTGACTAATGAGAAATTTTGCCACACACTAAACATGGAAGCTCGAGTGCTAGTAAGCGATTGCAAACGCTGATTATTTACATAGAATTCTGGATCTTTGAGAGAAAATCTATTCTGATTAGCATCTATATTAAGAGTCAAGGAATATAAATTCGAATTACAATGTTTGACTATAAGATTAGCTATATTATCACTATCCTCCATCTTTTCTTTGCTTAGTCTTTTGTGCAAAAGGTTCAGAGTATTATTTTTAAAGTTTTCATGGCCTAGTTCTTTAGATATTTTTGGTGACGCTCCCCCCGGGTCACTGCCCGACCGTAATCTGGTTACCATATTGTTTGTTATCCCATAGGCTCGATAATCGGGAAACTTGAAATAAAATTGTTTAAGTTTGTGGCATTGGTCCAAGCTTTTTATGATGGTTCGACTAATCAAAGGACATGTATCTAATGATAGCTTGGTGAGTTTTTTGCATTTTTTTAACAGGCCCGATAAATCCTCTTCGCTTATATAGAGATGCTTTAGTTCCAGACTAATCATATCGAGATTAAAATACGGCATGATATCTCGGAAACGATGTGAATTTATACTGTAAGTGGTGTTAAAGTTGTATTTATCTGTCCTTTTCTGGTGTTTCATCATTTCGACCTGAAATTTAATTTTAAGATGATTGTCAATTAATCCGAATAAATAATTAGCATAATATTATTTATGTATTAATGGCATTGTGTTTTTTTCCGGCAATGCATTATTTTTGCAATTAATCTGATTACAGGAAATGTATTACATTTTTTGAATACCTGCTCTTGGAAATTGCGACATTTACGTCCATAGATTTTTTTTATATAAATTATAAATGACTCAAAGGTTAAAGGCAAAATTTTTACAATTCATAAGATAGGTATTCTAAACATGCTGTAATACATTTCCCGCAAAATCCGATTTTTAAATTTAATAAAATAACACATTGCAGGGGAAAAAAAACACATATTGCCGATTATAATTCAATTTATTTATAAAATGAAATGATATTTTTTAAAATTCTTTGATATATTAGAAATAATTAAATATATTTATGGCATGGCACTAATAATTTTATATCAGGATCTTTTATTTCTTATAAATCAACTTTCTAAATTTATACGCAACAAATTTATTAAAATTATATACGGTGAATTCCATATCAATTCAACAAAAAAAAGTCAATTTTCAACCCGACCCCTTTTAATTTTTCTTAAATTTTGTATGCTGGTAGTATATACTATAACTAAGAAAAAAATGAAATTTTACCTTCCAACACTGTTTACCCGGTAAGATATGGCTGTTTAAAGCGCGGAAAAATGGTACATTTTTGACAAAATGCACCTCATTTATTTTCAAATATCTCGAGTCATAATTAAGTTAGAAAAATAATTTAAATTTATTTTGTAGCTTAATAAAAGTTCTTTAAAATGACATAAAAAAAATTTGATGGACATTTTATTAATATCGAAAAACCGATGTGTAAAACCAAAAATGGGCATAGAAAAAAAAAGGTATTTTTTTTTTCAAAATTTTTTTTCTGTAGATAGATATCACACTTTATATATGTAAAAAATCCTAGACTGGGATGGACATGGGTTTAGGAGTTATCCTTCTTATTATGGCTAAAATTGAACAAATTTAACATTAATATCATCATATTTTAATTTAATGAATAATTATGAAATAATGTAATTTAAAAATTATGTTTAAATGATAGGCCCATACTTTTTTTTTCTTTATCAAAATTTTTGAGAAGTGGCTAGAATAATGAGCTCTATTTAACACTTTAGTTAAATTTTGTCTAGAAGTTACTTGGCAAAATAATTCTAAACATATTTATAACTTTATTTGCCTCAAATTGCAATACATATAATACAATCAAAAATTTATAATTAAAATATATCATATATTATAATCATCCAACGAATATTAATAAATTATGACTTTTGTTTTCGTCTAGGGGAATAAAAGCTTGGAACTGTATTCCAGAAATTGCTCTCAAAAATCTGCTTTCAAGATGACTTTCTATGTTCATATATTCATTATTGCTCACGAATATATAATTTACCCCTTTGATATTATTTTTCTTGCATAGTTAAATAAATCTATTGTTGTCAATATATAATGTTCATATGGACGTTGCAAGCTTGCTCGAGCTACTAACCGTTTAGTAATGGCCCCCAAAATGTCGCATAGTTTTTACTTTATGCGGTGTTAAAAAATGTCACTCAGCCTTTATCCCAAAATCGTTTTCATGATTGTAGAGATTAATGAAATCTTTTATTTTTATATTGGTTACTATTCCATCAGAAAAATAATAAATTTTAGCCACTCTATTAAATCCTTCCTTCATGAATACGATCAATTTTTAAAATAAATAAAATGCACATGCGTTGTGCTTTAAACAATCTGATATAACCACTAAATTTACATGTTTATGTTGTTCTCACATAATATATTATAAGGGTTGATAGTGGTTTGATTATTGGTCTAATTTAATCCTTGTGCATGGTTCTACACTACAAATGCATAATTTTCTGAAAAGTCTGCAATAACTAAGAATTCGCCAACATTTAAATTGAATTTAAAAAGTTTCGAATTAATGATTATCGTGAAGCTACAAACAAATGAGGAATCAAATTGTTAATTATTCAATTAAATAATCTACAAATTCGTCAGCGGATTTTGTCAGTGTTTCGAGGGTAGTTCGATCAACTGCTATCCATTGTTTGAATGTTTTATAATCTATAGAATTCTCGTCAAATGCCTTTCTTTTAATTTTGAATATATGGGGGAAAATTTATTGTTGAATTTTAATTTTGGTAGATTATTTTATGCTAAATAAAATATTAAAATTATTTTCTTAAGTAATTTTAATTTCGAGATAAAATTTAACTTCGAGATAATATTTAACTAAAGTTTTACACAGCTCATTATCCCAGCCACCTCTCAAATTTTTTTTATTAAGATAAAAAGTAAGGGCCTATCATTTAGACATAATTTTTAAATTAACATTATTTCATAACTATTCATTAAATTATAATATGATGATATTAATGTTAAATTTGTTCAATTTTAGCAATATAAAGAATGATAACTCCTAAACCCATGTTCATCCCAGTCTAGGATTTTGTATAAATATAAAGCAGTGTGATATCTATCTATAGAAAAAAAATTTTGAAAAAAATACCTTTTTTTTCTATGGCCATTTCCGGTTTTACATATCCGGTTTGCAATATTAATAAAATGTCCATCATATTTATTTTTATATCATTTTAAAGAACCTTTATTAAGCTACAAAATAAAATTTAAATTATTTTTCTAACTTAATTATTACAGAGATATTTGAAAATAAACGAGTTGCATTTTGTCAAAAATGTACTATTTTTCCACGCTTTAAACGGCCATATCTTAGTGGATAAACAGTTTTGGAAAAATTTAAGAAAAATTGAAGGGGATCGGGTTGAAACCTTGGTTGAATTGATATGGACCATATATATATAACAACAATTTGCTATTTTAATATGCGTTATTCTCTTACAACATATTTTCACGGCTCCCGTTCTAAATAGCTATAAAGCCAAAATCGTTAAAAATTGTAAATCTCGCTTCTCTTAGAAAACTTTTAAAATACATTTGAAATTAATACTAATAGGTGCTAGGGAAGTAAACATTTGTATTTAAATTAAGTTTTTTAAAAAATTACTAAAAATGAAGGAAATATTATCATCGCTCCCAATTTTATATAAGCGAAATTCCCAATTTATAGCGATTTATAACCTATCCCATTTTCACTTCTTAGTTTTTTTTATTGTTTCATTGACGCTAATGAGCAGGTCAAAAGATAAAGTGCGTTGATTAATTTGTTTATCAATATGAATTTAGCATAAAATCAATTTTCGTGGGAAATCCAAACAGGGCTAGACAAGAAGGTCAAGTCCTTTTAAATTTTTTTCTTCTCGTTTTGATTTTTTTGATGATATTTTTAGATAAATAATAGATTCAAAAAACATCTGGATGTCAAATAAAAGGTTCAGCATTCTTCATGTCGAGATAAAAATTTTACTCTAGAACTTTACGACAACCTATAAAATGGAAAAATTCGACGGCCTCTATCTCTAATAGTTTAAGAAGCTTAGCAGCATAAATATGTGAGAGATTGACAAATTTTTCAATTCACCCCAAACCCGGGGTAAGGGGACAGTATATCCGGGGTAAAACACTTCAGGTAAACTCGAAACCCCGAAACACTTTTAATATGCTAGAATACATAGAAATATTAAAATATTTATAAGAAATACCTAAAATTTCGATGTAAAAAAGGTTTTAAAAAGTATTTCTCGATTGGATATTTCCCAGTTCTTTTTAAATTATACATATATAATAGAAAATATACAATACCCTTTAATACATGGCTCAGGTTAAAAAGTTATTGCCATTATTTTTGTGGCCCCCTTCCTCCGTTGCATCCCCATCTACCCTTATTTGTTATAATAAATGGATGTAATATAAAACCGACCTAAATTAAGTAAAACGTAGGCCTGTTATTTTATAGGTTATACACTTAAGTTTAAATAATTAATAATAAAATTTATTAAAAATAAAATTTTTGACTTCAAACACTTTAAAGGATGGATCCACTTATGTTAAATATATTGTTAATCTATAAAAAAAATTTATTTGGAAAATCATTGATTATATTTATTTTTAGCAAAAAAAAATATTATTAAGTTTTTTTTTATAATACTTATATATCTTTATTTATATTATAAAATAACATAAACTATATAAAATATTTAACAAAAATATAACCTCATTCTATAAAAACGGAGGTGAAGTGAGACTACAAGTTCCCAAAAAACATGAATAATTGTATTTTAAAATAGTAATTTGTATATTATGTTTTAAAAAATAATATTCTTTAGGTTCTGATATAAGGGTTCTTATTTTGCCGCCTATATCTTTAAAAATTTTTAAAGTTCCACTTGACATATGTCCAAGGGAAGACATAACGATTGGTAAAAAAAATATAATTTGTTAATATGGAATATTTAATTGTTTTTATTTCTCTGCTATATCAATAGTGTTAGAATTTAAATTTTTTTGGAAATGAAGATAGGCATGTGAAGTCCCAAATTAAGGATTTTCCTAAAAACCAAGGCACAGAAGGTAAGCCATCTGGTCTTACGCCCTGATCTAATGATAAATTAGCAGGCTTCAGGATGTTTGGGATTCAGGCCCTGGTAAGAGAATGGCTAATAGCTGAATTAATTTCCGCATGTCAGACCATGTCTCCCTTTAAAGTTAACTAATATTTTACATTTGATGCATGTATGTGGTTGAACTATGTTACACCCCATTCGATGGCCTATAACAACCCTTAATTGTTTATCTGATAAGAGGTTACCTAGTAGGTTACGACTTTGTAATGCTTCCAACCAAGTTGGTATAAAACAAGTGATTATTTATAAAAGGGAACTTAATAAATATTACTTAATTTATGCATTTGAAAACAATATAAATATTGTGAATTTTAATAAAGATATATAAAAAATTTATATATTTAATTGTTTTTTGTTGACTTCGATACATAGTTTTACTATATACAAAAATTACTTTTCGTTTTCATATAATTATTATTATTTTCTAATTTTATTCAATAAATTAGTGAGCGAATCCCTACATGGTGGAGGTTAGGGACATCGATTCCCTTACCTCTCGCATGACATTTTTTTTTTAAAAAAGGCAAATATTAGTTAAATTAGAGTTTTTTTAAAAAATAAAAATCCAATTAATTTAATGGAATTTGGACTAAATGTTGAGAAAATATAGCTTATGTATATGTAATAATATATATATATATCATTTTTTAGATTTAAAATTTTAAATTACTAAATGAAAAGTTTTATCCTTGAAACTACTGTAATCATAATTTCATAATTATATTATAATAAAATAAGTGTTTTATATAAAAAAATAAATAATTGTAACATTTATTAATGTCTTTCTAACCTAAGTGGTTATTAAATTTAATAACGAATATACTAATTAGCATAAGTAAGTAATAAATTATGTTTACTAATTTTCCTTCTTCCCTATTATAGTCATGTCATGATATTAAAAAGAATTGCTTAAATTTTCCTATTTCATTGCTTATTTATAGCCCATTCCTATTTTTTTTTCACCATTATAATATTATATGAACCTTGAACTGAATTATAATTTTATTTTAGCCTGAATACAGCCCGTATTTGCATATATGTGACAAAATTTATTCCCCCAATTTATAATTTCAGATCTGGCAAACATGGCTGGAATATGTTATCAGAAAATAAGCCCGTTTTTTTTTTCGAATTTACAAAATTGAAATCATTTTTTTAAATTTTTTTTTTAAAAAAAAATCTAATTAATTATGCATGAAAAATTTAGAAATTTACTCTTGTTTATTTTATATATTTATATTTTTTTGAAATTGATCTTAATTCTTGAATAAATTATTATGAATCATATGGGGTAAAAATGTCACGGACCCCGGACTAAAATACCGCAAAAATATCCACGGATTTGTAATATCCCCCTTTGGCAAACAATTCTCAGGATTATCCTGAAAATGATTTATACATGTGTAATCCCAAGCAAATGAAAGGGCTAGAAGACATTTACGCCTTCGCATTGGAAAGGTGGTATAATTTTTTATGATGTAAAAAGTATCTAGCAGTTAATGAACTTTGAAGGTAGTTAGATGTCGCATCCTAAACATAACTAATGGGCAATACGTAGTGTTTATCACTAGTCTAGAAAAGTTTTACATAAAGCAGGAATCGCTGATAATTCATTCATAGCCGGATTTTAGATTAAATTAAATTTATTACTTTTTATGTGAAATTGATCATTAGAAGTGAACTTGTTATTAAAGAGACTGTCAAACGTCCGTTCTCATGACGTTTTTTTAATAGGATGAGGCCCACCCCACAAATGTTATCCTGGGACGGAACACCTCCTAAGGGCGCTATATTTTAGACGGGTGCCTCCAAGCGTCCCTTCTGTTCCGAGCGGAAATTTGACCAGTTATTCTTGTTAGCATATAATAATATCTATTAAAAATTGGAAGATAAAAAAAATTGCTTTAACCACTTTTGTGTGTAAAGTCATTTTTTTAAAGAAAGGGTTCAGCTTTAAACATTTTTTTAAAAGACCCTTTAAAATCACCCAAAGCTATAAATCAGAATTTATTATGTCGATATATGAAATCTACATCAACATTAATTTTATTTATATTTTTTGATATAATATTTTTGACACTAAAATAATTTCTCACATTTTTTGACTCTCTTGGCAAAAGCTGTCAAAATTTTTCTTGAAAAAAAATAACAGGTAATGTCAGGAAATTAGAAGTTAATTTAATATAATCTGTCAAAAAATATTAAATTTACATCTAAGCTAATTTAGATATAGCATATATCTAAATTAGAATGATTACGCCATAGCGTAATATAAATTAGAGTCCAAATGACCCCGCCATAGCGTATCTATAGAGGCCAAATGACCCCGTCTAATCTTTCGAGCGATTTTTTATCGCCAGTTATTTTGAAGGGTCAATAAAAAAAAATTAAGTCAAGCTTGACGTGGTTTAAAAAAATATTAATTACGGGGCGAAAAAAATTGTGTCGTAACATTCATCAAGTCAAAATCGGAAAGCTTGGATCAAAACCTCCAATAAAGAAATATATATGTTAGCGTCAATGTGTTTTTCCGGCAATGCGTTATTTTTCCAACTTTCAATTATTTGGATGAAGGCACTTTTTTTAAGAAATTTAGGAATCGGATTTTACCGGAAATACATTCCATCACGTTTGCAATACCTATCTTTATGAATTATAGGTAATTTTGCCGTTAACCTTTGATTCAATTATAATTTATATAAAAAATCTATGGACGAATTTAAATTTTATTAAGTTCAAAAGTTTATGGCAAAATTGTCTGAAATTCATAGGGTAGGTATTCCACAAACATGGTAGAGTACATTTCCGATAAAATGAAATTTTTTAAATTCGAAAAAAACGTGCTCAAAAAATGATTTTAAGTTGAAAAAATAGCACATTGTCGGAAAAAACACATATACATATTTTTTTTAAAAAACACATATACATATTTTTTTTAAAAAACACATATACATATTTTTTTTAAAAAACAAACAAATTTCCATAATTTTTATATATTTATAATTTACCTGAATATATTCAAATTTATGGGAAGAGTTAAATGATAATTCAATGCCACTTTCCAAAACCGTTGGGGCAGTTGGCTTTGGCTCTGCCATTCCTTCCCTTCTCTACTTTTCCACTCTTATAAATTATGGAAGAATTATTTCGAATTTGGAGATCATTTCAAAAATTACAAAGAATCTAAGAAGAAATTCCTTTTTTTTAAATATTATTTTAATAATGTAATTAAATAGTAATTTATATATTTGTCTTCAAAAAAAAAATTAAAATAATAATTATCAAAAAAACTAAATAAATTATAATTTATAATATATTTTCGTTTTTTCATTTTATTTTTCAATCCTTTTTCCTAATATTTTTTTTTTTAGATATATATATTTATAAATATTTTATTTATTTTATTTTTTAAAATCAATAATAATATAAATGTTCTTGTCCTTACTTTTTCTTTTATAATTTTCGATAATCTTTCCTTCTTATTTTTATTTTGTATGTATAATAATTAGCTACCTTTTTTCTCTTTTTTAATTAGGAGCGGGTACATAATTATTTGGTTATAAGAAGAAAAATAATATATTTTTTTTGAAAAATAATATATTTTTTTTGAAAAATAATATATTTTTTTTCTAGGTTTTTCATTTATAAAAATAAAATATAATAACGAACGAATATAAATGAATCGTAATATATTTGTGCTATATTTATAATAACTTAATGATAAATTCTTTCTAAAAGAAAAATGTATATATATATATTTATATAAAAGATTCAATTATTTTTAATATAGTGAATTAACAAATCCTCTTTCTAATTAATAAACCGTAAACTTGGTTATAATGAAAATTTAAATTTTAACAAGATTATGACATCAAAACGGTTAAATTTTAAATCTCAATTTATTTTATTATATTTTTTTGGTGGTGGGGGGGGGGGCAGAATGATATAAAGAGATCAACACATGTTTTATCGATAAAGAAATAATAGAAGGTTTGTCCGATTAAGGCAATTAGACAATATGCTTAATAATATCCTATTAACATAGGCCTGAAAGTCTACAAATAAACCCTCTTATAGATTTTGTGCTGTCACCTTAAACAGTCATTTCAAATGATTTTAGACTCAGGACGATTGCACCTGTGATCATTTTAAACATGTTTCTGTGATAGCCCTACTTATTAAAATTATTTCCTTGCTGACTACGTCTAGCGAGCCATTAATTCTATCATCTATACACCATGATTGTGGGTTGAGCCTAGACTGCGATTGATGTCGATCATTTTGTTTATTCCTACACAATAGAGGATAGGTATAAGAAGGTAGGCCTCTATCTGTTGGGTACCTTCTATTGAACAAATTTTCATCATTTTTAAAAAAATGAGTGTGTGATATGATTGTCAGGAGGATAAATCCCTAAAAATACAATATTTAACGTTCTATTTAAAATGTAATTAAATTGCTAAATGTTTATTTAATATTTTTTATTCAATGAGACCATTCTGTTGAAAAAAAATTCAAAAAATGAAACAATTAAATATCATTATTAGCTGACGCATGCACACCCGACATAATTGCCCATTTTGCAACAAATCCAGAAAGACTTCTACCATTTCAATGAACCAGAGGAATAAATTCCACCTATCTAAAAAGTCCATATTTATCTCCGTCATATTTTTTTAATCTACTTCTATCAACAAATCCATGTCTTCCTTCTCCCTCCTCAGGTTCTGCAGGATGCGGCTCAATATCAACTTCAACCATAACACTTAATAATGCCATCATGACTAAGGAAATAGCAAATAATCATTTGTAGTTCATTTAGATGTGTATTAGATATCTAGGAAAAATTACTTTATTATACATATTGGGAAAAAATTATATCCCCTTAATGACTCTTTCAGATATTCTTCTTGATCTAGTTCTTAGCAATTACTAGCGATCCTGCGCTTTACCTCTACTATGTTAGAAGCCGCTGGCACCACCTAGTGTAGCCTACTATCGAAATTAGTAATTTACAATGTTATGCAATCTAAGCAACAAACAATTGGGAATTAATGTAAAGGCGGCTGGATTTCATTCTTGAAAGATTTTTTTATGCATAAAATGTACAAAAGAGAATTTTTAGGTATAAAATTTGATCAAAAATCTTTACTCCTTAAAAGATTTTTTCCAATTTTTTTTTGTTATGAATTTTCAAACTCTGGTCTGCAATAAATAGCCAATTTATTATCGATCACTTAAGAACAATATTTAAATATCTAATATAATCCAAAATTATACCAGATACTAAATTTTTATCTTTTTGTTGTAAAATCTAATCCTAAGATATTAATCCTAGCCTATTCCTCAATAACTAAATTTTGCCTTAAATATAATATAGCAGAGACCCGCGGAAGTGTTCATGTCAAACGGCTCGATTTGATCCAATTTTTAAAAACGTTTAACTCCATATTTTAATCGGTAAAATATTGTCCTAAACCTTGAGATTTCCATAATAGATGTCCAAAAACCTTTGTGTCACCTATGAGAGAAAATCTTCAGGCTTGCGTAATATTTTTCTGGATAAAATATTTAAGCCAGTCGTTTTTAACTCTAACATATTATTAAGCCTGGTCTGGATCTGTTAATACTTCATTATTTCTTGATAATTAGTTTTTAAAAGAAAAATTTTGAAATTGTATATTTTGTAATTATATTGTACCATCTGATTAATTAATTAATATAATTTTAAAATTTTATTTTATAAAATTAGACCGACCCTGATTTTGTAAATAAGCCCAGCCCGAATATGTAAATAATTATTTCTAGGTCCAATAATTTTTTTTTGCGGAGAGAACTTGGAGTTTTCGGAACCGGCGAAACCAATTATAAAATTTTCTGAAACCGATCCTAACAAAAGTTGCAAGTAATTTTATATATTTAGTGTTTATTTATAAAATATTGGGCGATTTCATTTAAGTTAGGTTTATTTATTATTTACAATCCGAGGTCTGCAATGGGCGGGTTTTTAGTCCGCCAGCCTAAGCCCACCCAATCAATCGGCGTGAGCGGGTTTTCTAAAATATTTACAATTGGGCGGGTGGCGGGTGGGTTAAAAAATATTTTTAAAACATTGGGCGGGTGAATTTCAAATATTTTCCCCGGCGAAATGAGCAGAACAGACTTTTTTTTGTTTCATTAATATTGCATGCTTTTAATCAAAATTACGACTAAATAAAACGGTCGATAGGTCAAATAAATTTAAAACAATGAGTGGGCGGGTTTTTTGTTGTTTAAACCCCATCGTAAATTTCCTTCTTTTCGTAAATATCATTTTAAGCTAATAAAAAAATGAAAGAAAAATTAGCAAATAATAAATTTTAAAATTAACGGCTATAATTCAAAATTCTTAGAAAAAAATGCATTTTTAACATAAAAAGCGAAAACCCAAAATTATTTCTATAAAAATCTAATATAATCAAATGGCCTAAAAGTCAAATTTATGGGGGGAAAAATCCAATAGTGCCCCCCCCCCTCCTTCCCCATAGTAATTATTTTGTTTTTAAGGAGAGATATGATCGAGTTTGAAATGTTTCCTCAAAATATAAAAAATCTCAAACATTTTTGATTTTCGAATATTTGTTAAAATGAAGATGTTTTTGAGAATCTCAAAAATTTTTGATTAAATTTTTTTTCTAAAATTCCAATTTTTTTTTTATAAATCTTATATAAAAGATTTTTAGGATATTACAATATTTCTGTTTTAGTTTATAACTTTGAAGGTATCTTTTTAATAACCTCTTTTTATATAAAAAAAAAATTAAAAAATAAATAACAAATAAGTATAAATAAATAAATAAAATTATCAATTCTTGATAGTGACAATAACCATAAAATAATATTTAATAAAAGGGTCAAGTTCACATTATGTGATAAAAATGAATGGCTGGATAAAGTCACAACAATGCAATGCATTATTAAATAACGATTTTTTTTATTTGTAGTTATTTTTCTCATTATTTTAAATGACTTTTTTTATAGATTTATACATTTTATTATAGTCAATTATTTGCAATATTTTCAGATTATCATGAAGAATATTCGCGGCAACTATTCAAAAGATTGTGATTAACTAAAGTTGATTAACAAATACAAAAATGGTAAAAAAATAAAATTAAAGTAATAATGATTTTTTTGAATATAATTTTAAAATTATAATAAATATTTACGTGAAAAATAAAAAGTTTTTTTTTTGAAAGATGAGTTGGAATTTTTCTTTTTTAAATCCCAAAAAACAACCCTGCAAAAGGGTATTGGTATTGATAACGATTAGCATTTTTATATTTATTATACCCCTATTTTTATACGAGGATAAATTAAAATACCCAGTCTCGATCACTGAATATTACGGAGAATATTTTTATAAGCCGCCACCACGAGACATTATAGCCTGGCAAGCCAGTGGTAGGTTGGGTAATGTCATGTTTCAATGGGCCGTTGTATCCGTACTGGCATTAAGAACAAATAGAACTCCTGTCCTATTACAAGAAAGAGGAAATACGGGGGCAGTGATCAAACTATCTCAGTTTTTCGAAATGAGAGTAGAGCAAATCGATTCCTTGGAACTTCTCTGGAGAAGGAGTAACGAAAATAATCAGAATCGAATGAGTATCGTTACTTATCAAATAAAAGGTCATTTCGACCCAACTCTAGAAAGAAGAATCAGGAAGCAAGATGTTAGGATATTCTTTGGGTACCCTAACTCCTACAGATACTTTATCGATGATCTTGCTCTAGCCTATATCAAAAATATATTTCGTTTTCGGGGTCACATTAAGACCAAGGCTTTAGAAGAACTCGATATTATAATTAATGGGTACCCTAAATCCCATAGCAAAAAGTTAATAGTCTCCTCGAACACCTGTCAGGAGGGTAGAATAAAGAAATACGAATTCGTAGGGGTGCACATACGTAACGGAGATATGGCAGGCATCAATGGTCGATACGAAGTAAGGTTTAATGTGAAGCCCTATATAAATCGAGCTATTCAATGGTTTACCGCATACTTTTCTGGGCTCAACAAAAAATCGAATGAAATACCTTGCCTAGAACCATTGTTCGTGATATGCGGTGATGACTTAAATTGGACTAGAAATTATTTTTACCGCCATGTAGGACATGTTGTGCTATGTCGCCAGAATCACTATATAATAGATATGGCCTTGCTTAGCTACTTTAATTATTCTATCATAACCCAGGGTACCTATGGATGGTGGGCAAATTTTTTAAATCTTCAAGAGTCACACATAGTGCTTTACCCGTCAGAGATGAGCGGATCTTACGGAAATTTTATGGATTATTTGCCCCAGTGGATTGGAATCTAAAAAGTAATTTATAACAAACATTTTTCATAAATAATAACAACTAAAATTATAATAATGACAATGGTATTAGGGTTACCGGATCTTGAGAAAACATTTTTTAAAGTATTTTATTAGGGCATGATAATATTAAATTGATTCTTAAGATTCATTACAAATTTTTCACTTCCTGCTACTTTTCTGATATTGGCACAAAGATTATTTAAAATTATACTATCGTGGAGATAAGATAGTATTTGCATTGATAGACTCCTCTTATAATCGATTCCTTTCATTCCCCTTGTTAATTCTTGGGTATAGAAGGATATTTTTTTTTATGTTGGCAATTTGGATCATATATAGAAAAAAGAGAAGCCGCTTTAATGAAAAATTCGCTGTGTTGTTCAGGAATTGGCAGATCATTGAAATAGTTGAACCCATTTTTGTTTAAGTGAAAGTTTTGCATATTAAATAAGGTTACAAAATACAACATTTTTTTTTCGAAAATATTCTAAGAATTATTCAATCTTTGAACATTTAATTTTATCATTATTTGAAACATTTAAATAATGGTAGAAATTTTTAGCCATAAATCAAAATAATCAATTTGACGCGCGCATGTTCGAAAGTAGGTTCATAAAATCTGCGTTTTTTTTAAACAAACTTTCTATGAGTAATCAGAAAATTACTGAAACTTTGAACAGCTCTTAAAAAAAAATATATATATCTATATTTCATAAATAAAATAAAATACCTCAAAATTAATGGCGAAATTGTCTGAAATTCGTAGGGTAATTATTTAGAGATGTTGCAACATTCCAAAATTCTAATTATCTTCTTCTAAATGGCATTAAGGTAGGTAAGTCACAAATAAATTTTTTAAAATCATTCCCGAATTTATTTTTGGTAATATTATATAAAACTTTTTCCAGAAATAATTTCTCTTGATAGTGGTAACCCTATAAAAAATAAATTGAGGCATACGTTAATATATTGTTATATAAATATAAAACCTTTATATAAACACAGAAAAAAGGGTATGATGACCTTAACGGTTAATATTCATATTCTACCATACTTATTTATATCGTAGATGTACTTGTTGTATACTTGTATAATTATTTTATAATAAAATATATATTTATGGCCCCCCTAAGACATAAAATCTTAAAATATTGTTTTAAAAATAATAATAGTTTTTGAAAAAAAATCTTAGGTAATTGGGCAACAAAAATAGATTTGATTTTATATAGTAAATTTTTTTTTGAAGTATATACTTATAAATTTTGGTTTTTATGTTCTAGGAATTTTATAGCCCCTCACTTATCTAGAATTTCCACGAGATTTTATAATAGCGCATGAATCAGAGGCGATCACCTGACTAGGAGACAATTACGACATGTTTCGCGAAAAGAAGAATTTGTCGTTATTAATCTCGATTTGTCTATTCTTATTCTTATTCCTTTATTCTTTGAGTAATTATAGTAATCACCCATGGATATCCACAAAACTGAATATATTATTTGTCAAATACAAGGATTCCAACGAATTAGCACCGAAAAGTTCCCCGAGGGTTCCTAACTCGGGAACATTCCCGAATAAAGAATCGTATAATAATTATATAGACAAAACTTCTAAGTTAGTCTTCGACAATAATATGATATACGACGACGAAACTGGATTTACTTGCGCTCCAAACAACAATTACATTGGATGGAAGGCACGAGGAAGATTAGGCAATTTGATGTTCCAATATGCCACGTTGTACAGTTTGGCGAGGGACACTGGAAAAGTTCCAACTTTATTGGTGGCGACTGGGAAATTAAGAGGTAAAAAATTGTCCGATTTTTTTAAAGTGACTCATCGGGAAATGCCGGAATTACCGACAACGTGCGATTATACAGCAGCCTCTGCCTCTTTTGTCAGATCAGATGAGAGGAAAGTTAAAGTGTATAAGGTCATGCAAGCGTACGATACCTTACTCAAGGATAGAATAAAAAATGATGGGTACAATGTATTCGAAGGGTTTCCTAATTCATATAAATACTTTGAGAAATATAAGAAGGAAATAATGAAAGAGTTTACTCTCAAACCTAAAATCAAATCTAAGGCCGAAGAATTTTTGAGAAAAGTAAAATCGAGTTTTTTTGCTTCGCCTATCCATCGCCCAAAGTCGAAAGACCGATATTTGACATTCGTAGCCATTCACATTCGAAGGACGGACATGATCCGATGGATCCAAATAAACAAAGGAAAATTTTCGGGATTAGCCTACATCAGAAAAGCTATGAATTGGTTTAAGGATTATTTTACGAATTCTAATTATTTCTCGAAACATAGAAAAAACAAATCTAAAAACCAAAATTTTGCATTCATAGCGTGTAGCGATGACCTAGAATGGTCCCGGGAACATTTGGGAAAAATTAACAATGTATATTTTTGCCCGGGGAGATCTCCGATCGAAGATTTAGCCATACTCGCATCTTGCAATCATTCGATTCTCACACAGGGTACCTTCGGCTGGTGGGGAGCCTATTTGGGAGGTGCTAACATAACCATTTACCCTTCAAATTATTATTCAACCTCATCGCCTCAGCTGACGACTAAAAAATTTACGTATCATCTCAAATACCCCCAAAATTGGATAGGCCTGTCGATATGAATTCGAATAGTATTGGATATTCATTCATATTGTCATAATAAAAAAAATACAATTATTTTTTTTAGTGTCCAAAAACCATTTAAAAAATTCGAAAAGTTTCAAAACTTTCTCAAATTTTAAAATTTTAATAAAATCATATGTTAAATTCTCAAAATTTAAAATTTTTTTAAGAAATTATGTTGGACATGTTTTTATATTTAAATAGCTTATTGATTTATTTTTTATTATTTTGGACAACACAGTTTTACAAATAAATTTATAACTTAATTATATTTAAAAAAAATTATATTCTATTAAATTTAAGTGTTGTAAAAACTAACAACTAGGTAATGGTAAATGGCTAATTAAAAATATGAAAACTGTATGATTATTATAAGAGCTAATTTAGTTGTGGTCTATTTATTCCATTCTATTCTGGTTAGATATAATTAGTTAGAGGATTCGAAGTATATTATTAAGTGTAAAATCGATAGTGTTATTGAACTCATCAATTTAAGCCAATTTTTAAAAACGGCTATCTCAATATTTTATCCAGAAAAATTAACGCAAATATAAACAACTATTAGCAAAATCTCAAGGTTTAGGCAATATTTTCCTGACTAAAATATAGTTATCCTTTTTTAAAAATCGGCCCAAATCGAGCCATTCAACGACACTAAAAATCTAAATTAATTTTAATCAAGATATCATTTATTTTTCAAAGAATGTAAAATCTATTTGGACTAATTAATATAATATAAATTATGACTTTTGACATGTCTACTTTAAAAATAAGGTACTAAAATGGTAGTAGCTAATTGTGTTAAAAGGAACCATAATTGTATTTACAAATTTTTATATGAATCAGTTGATAAATAAAAACTAATAGATTAAAAATTTATTAATATGATGATCAAAAAATTTTCTTAAATTAACATGAAACTATAGATTGGAAAAAATTTCCATATTTTTTAAAATGATAATATTCGATATTTGCAGCGAAAGAGGACACATATGTTATAGTCCCACATTCGCGATTTTCTTAAGACACATTAAATAGTTATCAGCGATCAGCGTCTAAACATAAATTATTGATTTTTTGGTGGATTATAATGTGCACAAATTGAGCGTTTCTAAGACAAATTATCGTACAAATTAGTCAATCGCTTGACGTTAAAAACTATGTACTGGTTTGCATTTTTCAATACTTTTTATTCATTCATTTTACATGTGGTCTATTACCCGTTCTTTAAAAGCTCGGTTTTATTTTGCAAAAGAGCCTTCAAAACCTTTTTACCCCAATAAGAATAATGAAGAGGGGGGGGGGGGTGGCACTAAAAAATCCTTTCGTAAATTAAATTTAATATTATAAAAAATGCAAAATTATAACTTATTTAAAATGGAATATTTATTAATTAATGAAATATAGACGATAATATAATTTACAAAGTTATTTTTTATAACTTAGTTAAAATTTTGAATTGACGATATTAATTAAAAAGGAACCTCAATTTAAACAAGAGATGCATAAATTTTTATTAGAAAAAGTAAGGCAAAAAGCAAAAGTTCAATTTGTGCGCACTATTATGCGATATTGCATATATATTATTGATAACCTTGACTTTATATACTGTTGAATCTAGTGTTAAGTTGAATTTAAAACCGATATTAAGTTATGATATATGGCATCTGAGGCATAAACGAATGGCAATTCTTCTTTTTGGCATATGATAAGACATAACAAATTATTGACTAAAAAATGCTTTTAGGCATTTACATTCTCCACAGTCTGTCATCCAAATGTGGGAATCTCTCTAATATATTATATGGGAAGATTGGAAATGTTTGCCTGAAAATTTTATACTATGTGATGAAAGAAAAATTTGATAGCAGGTTAGCTTCTAATAATTTGATCCGTGTCAGCTCACAGCAATTTTTTATTTTTTGGAAAGATAGAGCCTAGGATCATAGAGTTAATCATTTATCCGGAGGAAATTTGGTGACTACATATGGTATATATTTAGCCAACTGAAGCACATGCCATTTAAAAAAATTATTTTTTTTATAGATAAGTATAATTGATAAACGCGTATGTTTCTCCTTCACTTAACATTTACGGATATACAAATTTGATTGGCAGACATTTGATAAAATATTTTCCATCTCAAATTTAATAAAAAAAATATATTATAGTATATTCCTTTTTCTCACGTGACTCCACGATAAAAATTAAATCATATTCAGTTGGTGGTTAAAAAATATTTTGAAATAAATAGTTTTTACAAAAGAATGATTGATGATGGAATTAATTTTTTTTTATTACAGTGATATATAAATTTTGAGTAATAATCCATAAAAAAAACCAAATTATTAGACCGTATTCTGGTTCATTTTATTTCTAAACAGTAGTCTATTTAACCAGCTATATAGCTTTCTCTAAACAGTCCTAAAAAAGAAAGAGGCTATTTAGATCCACGTAAAAAGAGTAAAGGTTGTCTTTGGGGAGGGGGGGGGAAGTAAAAATAAGAAATAATATTCATTTAAATGTATAGCACACTTATAAAACCAACCAAAATATGGGTGTCCGTTTAGCCACACGGCCTTATTATTTTATTTCGCATTTATTTTATACATGAACTTTAATTATAAAACGCGCGTGATCATCTTTAAATTATTTGCCCACCCGATTCAAAAAAAATTTATCATGTGGGGTTAAAAGAAATTTAATACTGATATTTAGATCTGGATGTTAACCCCGGAATTTTATATAATTCGAAATCCTATTTAGTACACAAATTTAAAAATACTACTTACTACTACATCAGGTGACTAACAATAGGATATTAATTGTTTTTTTAAATATTAGTAGTCACACAAATTTAGGAATCGCTTATGCAATATAGGAAAATAATTGAGGGTGTGAGTTCCATGCGCAAAAAAAAACAAAATTTCTTTTTCTCAATAACTTTAGGGATCTCTATATCCGTAAAATATTAGCCAGACCCCAATGGATATATATATATATATATTATCGACAATGCCTGTATTGCCTGATTAATGTTTTAACCAAACCCATATAATTCTTAGTATACAAATTATAATAACTCAAAAGTCATAGGTGTTGTAAATACACTTACTAAAATTACATTTTCTGGCGAAATTAAGATCTTCAAATTTAAAAAAAACGCGCTCAAAAATATTGATAATTATATTTTTCCAACTTTAATATTTGTTAAAATGAGTCTAACTAGCTTTAACGGAAATAAATTCCAGCATATGCCAAATACGCTAATAATTTAATTCAAGGAATGTTCAACTAGAGATTTTTTAATTGGATGAAATATATTTTTAAATTAAGCATGAAGTAAGGAGTAGGATTAAAGATAAGAGAGGTATTTGTTAGGATTAATTAAAGATCTGAGAGAAATAGGTTTAGCAGAGCTATACCGAAAGCTTTGACGGCCCAGGGCAAATAAATAATTTGAGGGCCCAAAAAACACCATTTACCTAAGCTTATTTGGTAATTTTTTGCAATGAATATTATTTCCAGTCATTATAGCTTTCGCTTGAAAATTTGTTTGTCAAATTTTAAAAAAGTTTAAAACAAAAAAAAAATATATTAAACTTTCTCTATCGAGAACAGTAACCGATGATTAATTGATTATTGGAAAAATTTTGCATATGGAACGAATCATAAAAATGTCTACCATTTTTGTTTAGTGGAATATAAAAATACTCTATTCGTTGAGGACCTTTTTCTACGAAAAAACATTCGCAGATTATCAGTTATCCATAATAGCCATTTACTTATATCGCCCCAGTTTGTGTTTAAATTTTTAAGAGGGATTATTGTTAACTATGTTCTAATCTGCTGTGGATTCCTCTATACCATGAGAAGGATAAAATTTTTGAACCAAACCTCTGGGAGCTCGTCATAGTGAGTGAAAGAAATATGAGAACCAGTGTTCTGTGAGGTCGTCATGATGATAAAAAATATGAGAACCAACGATCTGTGGGATCATATGATTGGCCATAAGTATATTAATGTGCTCCGAGATGGATATCGATTTCTGGCACTTCACTTGTGGCGTATGGTGTCACATTTTCATTTTTAAGGCGTTTTAAAATAGTCCTCATTTGAGAATTAATAAATGTAGCTAGACGTTTCTTTCTTTTTCGTTTCTCAGCACCTGGATCAAATTTGCTTTTTTCTCTCATTCTTTGGTTATGAAATAAAAGATTGTATGGCGTCTCCTAGTAAATCTCCTTAAGCACTATTTATATATTAATCTGATTTGTCATATTTAGGGTCTGAAATTACCATTTAATTATACATTTAATACGATTCTAAATTAAAATAATAACTCAATCTAGATTAGAGTTGTACCTACTCGAAAGTTCTATGAATCAAATGAAGACTAGTGTAAAATTTATTATTTTAAAATAGACTAATCAGAATATTCACAAAGAATGCTTCATAACTATTACAACCACAAAAACAGGACCTTTACTTGAAAATATACAAAATATTAATCAAAATAGTCATTTAATAGAAATCATTTAAAAAAAATTATTATTTATTTTTATTTACCGATTACCTTGTTTCTCTGCTAGAAAAAATTTAAATAAATTGTTAATAAAAGATTATTTATAAATAGAAAAAAGTGAAAATTTCAATAAAAAATAAAATTTCAAAAATAATGAAGTTTTTATTTACTATAATATAAATCAAATTTTTCGTTATAATACATAAGGCTAACATGCTAAACTTTTTTTTCAAAATTTATACATAGATTTTTTTTACAAAAATTCTTATTTTTCAAGAGATTATAAATAATTCAGTAAAATTACAAAATTTGATGGCCCCTAAAATTGCCTAATTTCGGCGATGGCAGTTGCCCCGCTCGCCCCCTACCCGCCTGCATGGCCCCGAGTTTGGGTTTAGATTGGTTTTAAATAAAAATACTTTCTATTAATAAACGGTCAAATCTAACATACAGATCATGTGAGTATAAATGGACGAAAATATACCAACTGTTGTATAGACAATTTTCTTGAGCTCTGAACCTAAATCGTAAAAAATGC